TTGCTACGTTAGTAGTAGTGGTTTTTATAAATTTAAACTTGACCAAAAAGGCTTTTCTTGAACCGCACATTCACTACATCAATTTGGCGTGCAAAGAGCGGCCGTCGTCAGGCGGTAAAATGGATCCTTATATAATTGACGAGTACTACAGAAACATCACTATGTTTTACTGGGAAAGGGTTACATTGCACGGTTATGTTGATTTAGACTTGGCTGGTGATATGGATAATAGGAAGAGTACTACGGGGTATGTGTATACTTTTGGTGGTACAACAATGAGTTGGGTCTTTCAGTTGCAGAAGATTGTGGCTTTATCGACCACAGAAGCTGAATATGTTGCAATTACAGAAACTAGCAAGGAGATGATTTGGTTACAGGGTTTTTTGGAAGAATTGGGTAAAAAGCAAGAGAATAGTATTATTTACAGTGATAGTCAGAGTGTTATTCATCTTGCTAAAAATCCAGTGTTCCATTCTAAAACAAAGCATATACATTTGAGGTACCATTTCATACGCTTACACTTAAAGGATAAAGTTTTATCACTTAAGAAGATCCATGGGAGTAAAATCCAACAGATATGTTAACCAAGGCAGTTATAATTGAGAAACTAAAGCTTTGTTTAGCTTCAGTTGGTGTTCAAGCTTAAGGACAAAGGAATGAGTTGATGTGGTGTGTTGCTATGTATAAAGGCATATGGGAGTTGATAGTTTGATGTTTATCAGTCTCCAAGTGGGAGATTGATGGGTAATGTGGAGCCTGATAGATCCCGAATTTTTTTTTGGAGGGTATTTTGGTTATTTTCGCACTCCCTAGTGCGAGGGTATTTATTCATTTTGAACTCTCTGTATCCGCTGCTATTTTTTATCACCATTGTGAAATCCCTGCAACCCTTGGACATAACCCTAGATTTTGGGTGAACCAAGTAAAATCTGTGTGTTCTTGTTGTATGTGTGTTTGATCTATTTCTCGTGTTTTCTGTTTGATTTCGCAACAGTTTTATCACAATCGTTCTTTGAGGCGTTGCGTTCCATGGTCACCCACGGACGCATCACACATTCAGTATACCCCCAAAATTTGTTGTCGCATATCACCAAACCAATTCAATTGCAATTGCCCAAAAATATATGCTATGTTTTCAATCAATTCCCTTCTAAACATCAAAATCTGCAACAAAATCATATCTATGTTGAATGATTTTCCACCTCTGTGTTGGTTTTGTCGTCGTTGTAGTTAGAGGTCAAAGAGGGAAAAAAACAAAAAGTGAGGGAGGTGGATTACAGAGGTGGCGATTGTGGACGGTGGAGGTAGTTGTGAGGGAAGAAACAACTTTGTGGGGGACGGAGAGCGGTGGTGATGCCTCCATGGACAGATGGTGGAGGTGGTGGCCATAGACGGTGAGTGTGGTTTAGTTGGAAAAAGAGGGCGGCAGGCGTAGGGATATATATATATATATACATACATACATATAATAAAGGGATGTATACAAACGTGTACGTATATAGACGTGTAAAATTATATATAATATTCATTTAATGGGTCACAAGGTTAGTTTTGTCTTTTTAAATTTTGCCTACTCACTCTGTGTGACGTGTCTTTTTTGGACGTTAAATTTCAGACAGCAAAGTAACGTTGTGCAACTGAGCAAATAGTTCAGGGGGTTAAGTGGTTTTTTTATAGTTCAGAGGGGTTTCTTAAGAAAGAGAAGAAAATTGAGGGGGGTTCAATGCACTTAACCCAAAACTTTATTATTTATAATAAAATGTATTATAACCAATCTAACGATTTTTATTGTAAAAAAAAAAAAAAAAAAAATCTTTTTCATACAATATATTGACGAAAAATTAATAAAATACTTTTGAAAAAAATACCTTCTTTTCATGTAATATATTCATTAAAAATTAAAGATAAATTTATGTAAATTTAATGAAAAATAAATTAGTACGAATTTTTTCATAATTTATTTAGATAAGAAAAATATATTAAATATAATTCAATAAGAAGGGGTATTAAGGTCATTTAATGAAATATAGTATAGTCATTGGGGTATGTTGCAACAAAATGATATAATTTAGGGAGTTTTATACATAAAATTTAATTCAAAAAAGTTATTTGTAAATTCAAATATAGGTCAAGGAGGTTTTTTTTTTTTTTTTTTGTTTTTTTTTAACGTTACTCTTATTCTTATTAGTATTAGTATTATTATTATTATTATTATTACTAACTAAATTTAAAGGGGCTTTCTTTGATTGTGATGTGACAGTCATCTTTGGCATCTACCTCCCAACGTAATTATAAAAAGTTTATATGGAGTAGGAAAAGGTTTATATGGAATAGGAAATGTAGATTTTTACGGGCTTAATATATCTATCATCATAAGTTTATATTAATTGGAATCCCTTATATACCATTAATTATTGCAAATGATCATTACACTTTTTTGGCTTTTTGCTCATGTAATCTCCTTTTCAAGTGGACACATTTTATTTTTTTATTTATTTTGGGATAAATATTTTATATATATATATATATATATATATATATATATATATATATATTAATAGTTAAATACTATATAGAGTATGTTTTATGGTCAAAGACAATGGAGGATTGCACATGTTATGCTTTATGAGCATTCCTTATATTTTGTTTTCACACTCATCTCATAAATATTACTCCTATACCATACAACCCCAAGGAAATTGTCCGTGACAAAAAAAAAGTTTGATATTAAGATTGGGTGTTCGAATTTCAATGAAACTTTTTTAGTAATTATTTGCTTAAGGTGAAATTGCATGTGCCAAATGATGGTTGCATGTGATTTGGTGGGACTACAAGTGCCAAGTGGTGGACTTCTGAAGCAGACACCACCATCAACCAGAAAATAATAATTATAAAGTAAATTAAATTACCCCACAACTAATCAGGTACAAACATAAAACTCTAGCCTATACATGTTTAGTCCCCTTTTTTCACAAGGATATTACCATATACCCCAAAAAAAAAAAAAAAAAAAAAAACTCTTAACTTATATATGTTCAGTTCAAGGCCACTAAATAATTGTCACAAGCCTCTGCTTTCACATCACATATAGATAGGAAATATCTTACACTTTAAAGAGCATGTAGAAACTTAAATTTTGGATTAGATAGCAAGCGTTTTACTTCTTGTAGTTAATATCAAATCCATTATGTGATGTTACCTTAAACCTCCATCGTAGGCGTAAGGTGTTTGGGTTTAAGTTTGGATCATATCTGAGTCCTCCAATTGTGCTCCACAAGGTGTTTGGGTTTAAGTTCGGATCATATCTGAGTCCTCCAATTGTGCTCCACATATGTGGTTGTGAATCCGGTTATTATTAGGTCCTCTCTCGCCAATAAAATGAACTATATGTGAGATATATCTTATAATTGACTAATTTCGTTGTCAAATAAGTCCATTCGAGTTGTAATTTTTTTGTTCAAAATTTCAAAGATTGAAGATCGGATGCGGATTTGAAGAAGTTCAAGTGTTCATGGGTTGCTACACTCCGAACAGTGCTTTAGGAAAATATGTGAGTGAGTAAGAACACTTAGGGAGTTTAGAAGGTTGAAGGAAACGGACAATACCTTTCTGTCCATTGGGAACCGGTAGGATGATCTTTGAACCGGTAGGAAATCTTGATCCACAATAGGTTTGTTCACTGCCAATCTTGAACCGGTACCTCAGTTAGGAACCGGTAGCCAAAGTGTGTCGAAAAGGCTTCTGACCTTCTTGAACCGATACCAAGTTTGGGAACCGTTACCAAGAATCCTGACAGCATTAGAACTTTCAGTTTCTTCTTCTGATTGTTTCCTTTTGATCCCAACTTCTTTCCAAGTCCTATGCACGAAATTTTTCATATTTTCAGAGGGACTAGGACATTCTAAACTCTATATAAACATTGGTAGTCATCTAAGTTTATTCGGGACTTTAGGGAAAATCAATTCTATATTTTAAGAAAGCCTTTAGAGAGAGAGAAATTCAGAAAATCAAATCAGATTATTCTGAATTTATTTTTGAGAGCACACACATATATTCATGAGTGATTTAGTTATGTTGTTCTCTATCTCATCGGAATTGGAACTATATTGAAGATTCAGAGATTCCGAATGAAGAGCATGATTTAATTCTCCTACATCAAATTCAAATCTAGAAGAATAGAAGTAAAAGCGATCACACTTTGAAAGGATTGGAGCATTCGAGGAGTGTTGTCTGATCTACCTGTTACTCTTCTACAAATATCAAGCATAAGTCTGAGGTCAAGTTAATGTTGGATAGAGAGTCGCAAAAGCAGAGGATTGTCAGCAATTGGTGTTTGGTAGAACGATAGGGTATGAGTTAGAGTCAAAGTTCGGTATACTTTGTTTCAAATATAGTGGATCAGTTTACTTTGGACTGAATAGTCCATGAGGTTTTTCCCATGCAAACAGTTGACGTATTTTATCTATTGGAGTTTTCTCACTAAAATCCTGGTGCAATCTCTCTAAACTTCTACTTGCTTTACTTTACGGTATTTATATTTGTGATTGTGGATATTTAAATTGATCATATAATTTAATCAATCCTAAATTAAGCAAATTGACCTAATAATCATATCTAAATCATTAAAGAAGTTAATCACAATTAAAATTAACTAACTATTTTCGTACCCTGCATAACTCTATTTTTTACACTATAACCCAATGAGTGCTTGATAGTAGTGTGGATATGATAACCATATTACAATTTATACCATATTTCATTTTTCTTTTTTTCTTTTTCTTTTTTTCACCATTTTTCTTTTTCCAATCTTCTTCTTTTCTTCGTCCTTTTTTTTTTTATTTTTGTATGAAAGAATCTTTCTAGGTTGGAGAAAACTATTGCTCCAAAACTTCCCTTAGAAACCTCTTATGTGGATTAAGACATGTGGCGACCAATTATAGGTGACAACTCAGCTACCAATAGCAACTGAACCCGCGTAATACTAGGTAGTGACTCGGTCGTTATTTCACTCGCTACCTCAGACGAACAGAAAATATGAATGAACCATATGATATACTGGATTTGCTAACAATCACAAACCCTAATTCACCAATCTTACATTTCTACACACACAATGTGGAGATTCAAAACCCTAATTCTAATCCTCTGGTCATTATTCACACCCATCGTTCAATCAATGCGATTTGAACTCCACTCGGGGAACACCAAATGTATAACAGAGGATATCAAGAACAATGCCATGACCGTTGGCAAGTACAGCGTCGTAAACCCTATTGAGGGCCATCCTATGCCCGACACGCACAAGATCACAGTCAGGGTGAGCCATTTGATCTAATTGTGAAACTGTGATTTGTTCACTATGATTGATATTCAATTTTGGGGTTTGTTGTTTTGATCATTATGTTGTTGTGGTATGTATTTTGAAATGTGAATGAAACCCTACCTTTTCTTTATAATTAGAGAATTGATTGACTTGGTCATATTGGCCCTGCTAGTTTACAATTTTTAATTTTAAAACCCTAACTGTTCTGTACGTTCTGGAATTCTCAATGTGTTGGTGGGATGTCGTTTTTCGAGGAATCAAGTCGGTATAAATGGGGGCCATTTCAATGAACCACTTTAACTGTAAATTTATATTTTGCTCCTTGTCATCTTCAAAGGGACTAATTTGGTAATAATGTGGTTGGTACAATTAAAAGATCCGAATTTTTTAAACCAAATTTTTTTAATATATAGTGTGATTGTTGTACTATTTAGGCACTTGTTTATGGGAAATTTATTTGATATTGTAGATCTCAGATTCTATGATGATGAGGTACCGAGAAATAGAGGCCTAGGTGGAGTGCCGAGCTGCCACACAGTGTCCTCGCGTGGAGGAGAGAGGAAGAGGTGGTGGGGTTAAGCTTTTTTGGTGGTAGAGTCAGTCCCTTTTGGTATTAAGTCTCTCTTGTTTTTCAACTGCCATTCTTCACATCATTCACTCCTTTTAAGCAAGCAATTCAGAGCTGCTCGAAAAATCAGATCGGGAGCTTTTCTCGTAATGACCAAGTGCTGCACAAATAAAAGGCCAGCGGGGACTCTTGGTTGATATCCATAAAAGGAGTGATACTGTATAAGCAACATCTTAATTAATGTATATCTCAAATTTTCTTAGCTTTCATAGTGGTAGTTCTAGCACCTTCATCTCGTAAATTACATGCGAACAATAACTAATGCAAAAACAACTGTACTCTGAAAGAGTAGTTGTGGTATTTGAGAAAAATCATTTACTTATGAAGTAGGGTTAGAAGTGTCATTTCCTTTTAAGATTGGAGTGTAATTGTAGAAAATGGGAGTACGAATTTGGCCTCCATATATGTTATATATAATATTTACACTTACTAAGTGTCGTTATTTTTTATTACCAAATATGAAAATCTATGTACGAACCAAAGGGGCATACTCCCCTAGACAAACAACTCCAAACAACCTACCAAAAGACATAAAACAGGCATGAATTATGAAAGAATTCTAATACTTACTGTTGATGATTTGAGGGGTATTTTTCTTTGATACTTGTTTTGGGAGGTTAACTTGGTATTATATGATTGTTACAGTGCCAAAGTTGTTTGTTCTCCTTATAATCTTCAACTTTGGTGATTTTAGGAATCTGCTACGGGTGATTTGTTTGGTAATGTAGTTGCAGTAGAATTTTTGAATTTAAAATTTGTGTTTTTTATCATCCATGTTTTTGGAAGAAAGTTAGGCTTTCAAAGTGATTTGGCATATTGTGAGTATGTACAGGTCACATCACCACACGGAAACAATTATCACTATGGGGATCATGTGGATTCTGGTACCTTTGCATTTACCGCGGCTGAGGCTGGTGATTATATGACTTGTTTTTGGACGCCTGATCACAAGCCGATGATTATTGTCTCGGTTGATTTTGAATGGAAATCAGGTGTTGCTGCGAAGGATTGGTCAAAGGTTGCTAAGAAAGGACAGATCGAAGTAAGGAATTTAGCCCCTTTTTTTCAAGCTTATTTGGCTATTTAGGCAGTTAAATACCTTTGTATGAAGTTATTTTTGTCTGACAACCATATTATAGAGCTTTGGTTGTTCTCAGATTCTAGAATTTCTCTGCTTATTTGATTTTCTTACAGTTCATATCAATAGATAAGTCTGAATATTCATCTATTAGAGACGTTGATGGTTCATCGAATTCAAAATGTGAAATTTAAGTAGACTAGCTCCTTGTGAATATCTTTTGTTTCATGAATAAGTCAGCCATTTTGATTTAATGCTGTGAGATTTCTGAAGTTATGACTTGTTTGGCTGTCTTATAGTGTCTTCTTGCTTCACTATCTAGACTTCAACTGGGATATATATACACACACATATATGGTAAGAAAGATAAACTTACAAATTCACAATTGTCCATTATGGGGACTTGAACCCTCAACCTTTCATTGGAAAATAGAGATGTCACTAAAGCTAAACTTTTGTTATCTGAAAGTTTATATATAGATACTTGAAATACTAGGCACAATTTTCATAAGGATTGTAAAATTGAAGATAAATTATGAAGAAACAAAAGTAATACTTATAGATAGAGAAGGTAAAAAATAAATAAATAAATAAATAAAAGGGAGAAGGATATTAATTAAACATATAAAGTTTGCTAGATGGTTAACTATGTACATATGATTACAATTTACCTTTTGTTTATTTACTAGGGCAATTCCCATCATTGTAGGAGGTAGCTAGGATAGATGGTTATTATGCTATTGTCATATGCAATCTATTTGTTGCCATTGTAGCTATCCATAAAACTAGCAGTAGCCATCAAGCTATGTACCTTTGGCATAGAGCATCGTGATATTTTTTGATAAGTGATCTTGTTATATGAAAAAATGAACATTATCTTCGTGATTGTTTCATTTTTTGTACACTGTGAGTACAAAAGTATGATTCATAATATTATAGATTATTCCATTCAATTTCTTATTTAATTGTTTGAATGATGCAAAAGTTTTCGAAAGTGCTTCATCTAGATTATGTAATTCGGGTGGTATGTGACTGGTTGGTCAATCCAAATTTCTGTCTTTGATGCAGAATTTATTCGTATTTGTTATGATTTGCTTTGACTATTTGTCTGTGAGCAATAGTTGTTTTGCAGTTTTGGGTCATAAAAATAAGTGGCGTATGGCATATGTCGTGGCTGTGAGCAATAGTTGTTGTGCAGTTTCGGATTATACCAATAAATGGTGCATGGGATATGTCATGTGAATGAAAAAAAGTAAGGCAACAATGATAAAATAGTATCTCAGGAACCGTAACAAGTCCTTTTTTTTTTTTTTTTGACAGTAAGCAAGGAACTGAAACAAGTCAATCCAAATCTTTGTCTTCGATGCAGAATTTATGTGTTGGTTTTGTGTTGCTGTGGCTATTTGGTTGTGGCAATAGTTGTTGTGCAGTTTCGGTTCACATAAATTAGTGGTGATGGCATAGGTAATGTGAATGAAAAAAGTAGGTCAACAATGATTAAATAGTACATTCAGGAACCAAAACAAGTTTCTTTTTTTTTTTTTCTTTTTTCAGTAAGCAAGGAACTGAAACGAGTCAATCCAATTTTTTTCTTCGATGCAGAATTTATTCGTTATGTTTTACTGTGACTATTTGGCTGTGGGCAATAGTTGTTGTGCAGTTTCGGATCATATAAATAAGTGGTGTATGGCCTATGTCATGTGAATGAAAAATGTAAGGCAACAATGATAAAATTGTATCCTCGGGAATTGGTCAATCCAAATCTGTCTTTAATGTAGAATTTATTTGTGTTGATTATGATTTGCTGTGACTATTTGGCTATGAGCAATAGTTTTTGTGCGGTTTCGGATTATATAAGTAAATGGTGTATAGCATATGTCATGTGAATGAAAAAAAAAGTAAGGTGACAATGAAGAAATAATATCCTTAGGAACCGAACAAGTCCCTTTTTATTCTTTTCTTCTGGTTTTTTTTTTTTTTTTTTTTTTTACCCTAGGCAAGGAACTGAAACGAGTCATGCGTATTGTTGTCTGCAAGTTACTTTGGTAGGAAGATGTAGCCGTTTACTGACTGCCAGTAGCATGCATCTTTTAACGAAATTGTTTCCCATTACTTTTTTATTTTATTTTATAGTATACTGATACATTTTGTTAATGGAACTAATTTATTGACGATCTGATATAATGCTATATAAGGACTGTAAATTCTGAACTTTAATGTTGCTTTTCTTGTTATGTTTCGCTTCTAGGTCATGGAACTTGAGTTACAGAAATTGTATTACACTGTGTCCTCCATTCATGATGAGATGTTCTTTCTTCGTGAAAGGTAAAGATGAAAAGACTTTCCAACTCCCAAATTAATTTTTTTGTAAATAGGTATTTATCTTTGTGCTGGATTTTTTTAATCGAACAGTCCCATTTAATGAGTTTTTTCCCCTTATGTCTGGATGTTGTAGGGAGGAAGAAATGCAACAACTGAATAGAGCAACCAATTCCAAGATGTTCACTTTTACTTTCTTTTCTATTCTGGTTGTCTTGTCAGTGGCCGGTCTGCAACTATGGTATTTGAAGACATTCTTCGAGAGGAAGAAGCTCCTCTAGCTTTGCTAAGTGTTTTTTACATTTCCTTTTCACACCTCGAGTTCTTTTGTTTTGTAGTAACATAATTATATTTTCATTTTCATTTAAAGACTATTTTTTACTGACCCTTGTATCGCTTGGTTTTCGATCAGTAATAGAAAAAGTAGATGCTGAAGATGGTTCTTGAAAATTCGTCCTCCTGTAGAGGTTGTTGCAACCACTGACAATATGAATTACGGCATGAATGAATGTTATATTGATTTCAGAGCTATTATCCTTATGTATGGTAATTGCCAAGTGCCTTGAGAACATCGTAAACGTTTCTCTACTAAGATTCTGTTCTTGGGTTGGCTTGTGTACTCCATGGATTTTGCCAGCAAGCACTCTTGACTCTTATGTTCTTGCTTTTTCTGCTGGCCTTTTCTCCTATACATGGTACTGCAAAGGGGTGTTCAAAAAATCCGGTAAACCGAAAAAACCGGACCGGATCGGACTAAAATGAGCAGTTTGGACTAGTTGCATAGCAATTTGGTCCAATCGTGGATCCAAAATTATGAAACCATAATTTTTTGGTTAGTTCGGTCCTAGTTTAGGGTCACCAGCCCGGACCGAACCATTATATATCTTTTATATATATATATATATATATTCTTTTCAACTTCATAGTGATTAGTGAACTAAGTCTATATGTTTTTAGCCATGGCAAGAAATAATTATGATAGCTGGAGACTTCAAACATTAGTCATTCTATACTTATCTCTCTTGTTTTTTGAAATTTTGAGTTAATTTTTTTTTTTCTTTTCCCAATAAAATGGTAAATAGGGAATGCTGTATTTTTTTCCTTATGGTCATCTGGACACTGTCTGTTTGTTTCTTTTACAGTGCCTCATATTATTAACAATGCATGTGTAATTGTCATCTGATCACTGTCGGTTCTCAAATATATTATATACAAGGAAAAATAAGAGATTTTGTTCAGTCTGATTTCAAAAATAGTGAAACTGTTATAAATGGTTTGGTTCCAAAAAAAACTCGCAATCCGATCAATCCGAACCGTGTGCACCCCTAGTACTGCATTTGTAACATAGATACAGAGAATTTGATTCCAACCCATCAATGCTCGGTTGTGTGGAATTGGTGCTTTGAAATTGAAATTGGAAAAAATTTAGTTCCAAAGTACCAATTTTTATACAACCGAACATAGCATTTGTTTTGTGCCAGAGTGAATCCAACCTATCTTCCGACTTCTGTAGCTTTCTCAAACACACCACATTTCTCGTTCGTATTTCCCGAGCTACGAAAGCAACAAGGAGCTCAGCCAGAATCAAGACTTGACAGCGTAACTATGTTCTTGAAGATATGTTGCTGCTTTCTGTTATGATACATCATCCACGGAAACCTCTAAGGCTCTTACACATGACTTTCAAAATTCAAACTTTTGATAACAAATCCCTGGAAACCTCTTACATGCCTCGTAAGCTTTCAAACTCATTGATAACAAAATCGGTTATGGATTCATTCAGAAAATATTTGTGGGATTATCCGATCAGATCGGATTGAGTAATTGCTTATCGAATTTGGATCGGGTGACCCGTTTACAGGTGTAGTTGTTATGCTTGTATAACTCTTTATGGTTAATGCTATCTTTCATAGTCTTTTCAAAACACTGGGAAACTTAAAATAGGAATGTAATGGTTCTGTCATTCGCAAAATTTAGTTTCAAGGAACTCATTTTCACTTTTGGTTATATACCATGGAAAAAAGAAAAAAAATATGAGTGGAGAAACTTTTTATTTTTAGTGTTGCTATTGCTTTATTATTATTATTATTATTATTATTATTATTCTAAAGTTTGACTCCTCTTGGGGCTATTGCTAATGGTAAACAAGTTCAAATACTATCATCACACTGAGTTCGCTCCCCTTACTACATTGTGTTCTCTTCCTCTTTCTACCAGTCCCTTCATTACCGCACAAACCAAGACCCCAAGCGACAAATCCATCACTTCGTATCCCTGAATTATTACCACAACTCCTTGTAGTCTACGAACAGACATGGCAAAACAAAAAATTTGTATATGTCCATGAATCAGTACGACGACTCCTTGCTGCTTCTGGTACATGATTTGGGAATAGGGCCGATTATATGTTGTATATTTACAGACCTCTTCAGACAAATTAACAAAACACATAGAATTATATTGAACCTCTGTGTAATTATTCTTGTGAATTTTGCGTTAAGCTTTTTCCCATGTAGGGAGACCAGGCGAGTTTCAGGTTTGTATAGTCAAAGTAAGGCTCAAAGTAAGGTTAAATGGTAATTTTGTTTTCCGTTAACGCCTCCTTAACTGTTTGTCACTAAATGCAACAAAATAATAGTTTAGGGAGTTTACTTACTTCAGGAATATCTTGCAATCCGGTCATAATTTGCAATCTGATCATAATTTAGGGAGGTTTAATGCAGTTAACCCTATGATTTAGAAACATGTGATGAAGTCTGTACGAGGTCATGCAGACTGTAGTGATTGAATCGCTTCAATCTCCAAACTGAATCATGATTCATTTTTTTCCTTTTGTAATAAACCTTTAAAAGAGTGTACATTAAGATTTATTATTCTAATTTTGGGGGGTTCAACCTCCAAAGAAACCCGAGTAAAGGACCACCTACAAATTTGTCGCAAAAACCTCCAAAATGTAAATATTTATATTGTCTTATTTATTCCCCCAAGTGTCATATTCGCAAAATAAATCTTATACGAAATTTACAATACTTTGATTTGTGAATAAAATTCAAGTGGAAGTAATTTTTTAAATAGTCAAAACTTGGGAAGGTTTGGTGGTTGCTTAATATTTAATTGCGATGATTTTTTGTTTTTCTCGTGTTACCAAATGGGCAGCTTAGATTTAAAATTGGAGAAAAGAAAAAAAAAAATAATTAAAATTAAAAAAAAATTAATTAATTAAAACTTGAAACTAAACTTCCTCAAGTATCAAATTCAAGTCAGCCTCAAATATCAAATTCAAGTCAGCCACCCAGTACTCCAAACCCACAATTTTTTATTTTTTATTTGTTTCTCGGGTGGAATATCTTATAAATGTCACCTACACATCAGATGATGAGTTATTCAAACGTTGGAAATACACACAACATACTTCTTCACCATTGCCACTTTCCGGACATCCTTTTTGGTAAAAACCATTGAAGCAGAACTTGACGGTCCATCCCACAGTGGCCCCTCTTCAATCTCTACTACCTTGAAGAGTACAATGAGAAACGGAAAACCCAGATTTGAGGAATCCGACTCCGCGCTCATCTCCACGGAGCACTGGTTTTCCCGTGAAAGCATGTACCACGAGAAGCTCCGCCTAGTAGGTTGCCGTCTCGTGGACATCACTGACCTTCCAATGTACTTGTAGATCAACAGCTTGAAAAACTACTAGGGGCACGACATTTCTCACAAACTTTTGCACCATCCCATTTGAAAATGGGAAATGGAATGAGGGTGGAAACTTTCCGAAGACAAGACCAGGAAATTTCTTCTCAAAAACACAAATGATGGAGAAAGAGCACTTCACAACACATCCATACAATTTATTTTGAGAGAAAGACAGAGAGAGAGAGTTCCCAACAATTCTGAACCATATCAAACCAATGTACATTGTGTGATAAATTACCAGCTAACACCAACCAAAAACAATATTTAGCATATGCATTAAAGACACAAAAAGCCAGATATTTTAGAATATTATTATAACAATCCAATAAAGTTTCAACACATACCACACATGCTATGGTTTTATGTGTTTTTAGCGCACACCATAAAAATCCAAGCCAAAGGAGAAAACATGCCTTTATTTAGTAGCTTAATATGGCACGAATCCATTCAGAAAGCATCCAGCAATCCACTTAATCATCATAGGTTTCACGGTGGTGGTGATGGTGCTTATGGCGGTGCTTCTTCTTCTCATCGTCATCAGAATCGTTATCTCCCTGCAAAATTTAATAAATAAGATGAGGCAATGTAAATATATATTATAAAAAGATAAATAACAAGTAAAACACGACGTTGCAGTCTATCTTTTTTTACCATAAACAGAGTGACAATGGTTCTATAGGTCCATTGGCCATGCTGAAATAATTAGTTCCATAAAATGAAGGCAATTACATATGTAATGTTTTAAATCAACACGGAAATTGACAGCTTACATTAAACACACAAGATTTGGAGGAAAAAGAATCATATCCGTAGCAAGTGAAATAATTATAGGTTTTCGCAAGACATCTCAAAAATATGTGGGCAATATATATGTATACATTATACATACATATATATATATATATATATATATATATATATATGTGTGTGTGTGTGTATATATAATGGAACCTTTTAAATCAACACGGAAATTGACAGCTTACATTAAACACTCAAGATTTGGAGGAAAAACAATCATATCCGTAGCAAGTGAAATGAATATAGGTTTTCGCAAGACATCTCAAATACGTGGGCAATATATATATATATATATATATATATATATATTTGCCTAATTGGTACTCAAACATATGCCTCATTGAGTCTTGAACCCCTGACCTCTCTTTTAGAAGTAAGGGCCTGATGATACCACTAGGCCACTAGCCCATTGGTTGATTTATATGTCGATACATACTGTGCTCCAACAAAGAAGCTCAAAGCCCATGCCATGAATTAAGAATTGCTTGGGGATGCAGAATTGAGGCAGAAAGGCTCTGAACTAGACATTATTATTGTGACGTCCCACATCGCCTGCATAAGTTCTTGGCACTTATAAGGGGATGCATCCTACCTATATAGCCGCATTTTCAAAAAATGCGAAGGTCAAGAGGGCGCAAAGAGAACAGACTCTACTTGGCGTGGGTCGGGTCCAGACAACTATGCTCTAAAGAGGCATGTTGTTGATACAATGCTATCTACTCTAGAGCTATAACAGAGTTAACAAGTCCCATCTCATATTGAAGGAATTATTAAGATGTGCATGGGTTGAGCTTTGCACCCAGAAAACTTATGTTCCCATCTCTCTCATTTAAACTCAAAGAAGTATGTATATCCCCATTAAATGTTAGTTGAAATGTGCAGCATAGGGATTCTAGAGTTCCATCCTAGATTTTTTTTTTTTGAAAAGTAAGATTGTATTAGAAAGCGTTCAAGAGGGGAACGCATCCTACAAAGCTACACAAAAGTCAAATAGGGCCTCTAAAGACTTCTATACGAGTTTTAATCATATAGATTCTCCATTCCTCAGCAAGATGACACACGTGCATGCTCCCCGTTATACCATTTTATATACATTTCCACACACAGGCAAAAGAAAATTGACCATAATTAATTCATCAATGCTTTAATTAAACTTCCTACTAAAATAAAAATGCTAAAGAATCAGCCAAGTTTGAGTTAACTCAGTCAAGTTGAATTCGAATCAAAGGGGAACCATCTGATTGCCAGGACACGGTATAAAAACTTGAGTCTCATCTTGATCCTGTTGATCATATTGACCACGCATTGCGATCATAAATTCAAATTGCACTATTTGTTTACCTAACAATAATTGTTCAGAAGTACCAATTGAGATATAACAGTAATCAGGGTTGTTGATTTTTTTTCCCGATTACCATTGAACCACTCAAAACTCAAGGACAAACATATTTTGATCCACTATGAATGTTTCTGGATCTGGCAGGTACATGGTTTATCAACAGTATATGGAAGATTTCAACAAGGTCTTCTTCAATTGTCTAGAACCCATCTAATCCATAGGACTGTTTTCTAAACTTCCAATTGGGCGCTAACATGAGGTTCATCTATAATATACTCTTGAATTCATTTTGTTTTAAGGCCACAGTCACACTAAAACTACTGTCGTGACTTTGGCGACCAGCTTCACTCCAGCCACATCAGTCTTAGGCAGCAAAAATGCTAGACTCAAGGCTATGGCTTCTTCCATCACATCAAAGATAATCAGTAGTTCTTTTCGCAATCCAATCCCATATGTAGGCTTCAACTTAAACAAGACATGTGCAGTCTCTCTTCGGAGTAGACGAATGAACTTTATATAATTCTATCAATGGTACTGCAATTTCTTATAATCTAGCTAATTTTTTTTCAAAATTATCAACCAACTAGAGGTGCAATGGTAACGAAGCTCGTTCAACTTATGGATTCAGTAATTCACAATATAAAATGATCACTACGAAACGAAGCTACATTATACTGTGCCAAACTATAAAAATTATATTAACATAATATTTGCAACAATCAAAGCAGGAAACTAGTAAGATCATAAAACTTATATAATTTGCAATAAATTTGATCAATCAAATGAATAAAAAGGGTTGTGCTCACATATTTCTTGCGGCCATAGCTCCCTTCCTCATCGCCGCTGCCACGACTCTCGTAACTAGGCTTGCGGTACCCTTCCTCCTCAGACCGCCCATAACTTGGCCTCTCTTCCTCAGGCTTGCGGTACCCTTCCTCCTCAGACCGCCCATAACTTGGCCTCTCTTCCCTCCCATAAGAGGGTGCCTCATACTCGGTCCTCTCGGGTTTGCCACCATACCCGTACCCACCAACCTGCTGCTCCTCCCCGTAGCTCGGTTTCCGATCATACCCGGTTCCATACTCCGAGCTGGGCACCTCCTCAGGCCTCCTCCCATGACCAGATCCGTATCCAGAACCGGTCTCAAATTCACTCTGCCGACCATGCCCAGATCCGTATTCCGAACTGGGCTTCTCATACTCACTCTTCCGTTCATATCCAGATCCATACACCGAGCTGGGTTCCTCAAACTCAGTCTTCCGTCCATATCCAGATCCATACTCCGAGCTGGGTTCCTCAAACTCAGTCTTCCGTCCATATTCAGAGCTGGGCTCCTCAAACTCAGTCTTCCGTCCATATCCAGATCCATATTCAGAGCTGGGCTCCTCAAACTCAGTCTTCCGTCCATATCCAGACCCGTACTCCGAACTGGGCTTCTCATACCCACCTTTCCGACCATGCCCAGATCCATATTCCGAACTGGGTTCGTCAAACTCACTCTTCCGTCCATACCCAGAGCCATATTCCGAGGTGGGTACGTCCGACTCCGGCCTCCGCCTATGCCCAGATCCAAACTCCGGCCTGGGCTGTTCATACTCGCTCTTCCGACCATACCCAGATCCATACTCCGAACTGGGTTGCTCAAACTCAGGCCTCCGGACATGCCCAGAACCGTATCCCGGTCCCTCCGGTTCCGGCCTCCGGCCATACCCACCCCCAAATTCCGAATCTGGTGTTCCAGATCCGAACCCGGGACCACCAAACTCACCACCCCCACCGGGACCACCAAACTCACCTTCCCCACCAGGCCGGTTCATCCCTGGCTGAAACCCATATGCGGGCTGAGGCTTCTCGTACCCACCGCCACCACCGAACCCTTCCTTCGGTGGCCCGCCGTAGGCTGGACCGGGTCGGTGGGTGGGTCGGGCGTAGCTCTTGTACTCGTTATCCTGAGCATCGTCGCCGTAGGCAGATGGCTCGGCGGAGGAGGTGTACTGTGGGCGATCGTAGTCGAAGTCATCGGAGGTCGATGAGGTGTTGGGGTAACAGATGTCCTCCGTCGGCTCAAGAGGGCGGCCGTAAGTTATGGAAATGTCGTATCCGCCGCCGTAAGGGGTTGGATCGAACTCGTCGAAGTCGGTGACGTCGTCACCGGCGTCGTGGTGACCTTTGGCGAAGTACGACATCGTTTCGACGTTGGCTGGTTAGTATAGATGATCTGTTTGCTTGCTAGATCAGGGATATGAGGACCACTATATAGTGGATTTGAGTGCAAATCTGATACCAGTGAAACGGTGTCGCGTTTTCAGATATTTGTGCTATTGACGAAACGTGTCGACATTGTGTCGGTAGTTTTGAATCTCAAATTTAGACTTACAAAAATGCCCTTGGATCTGTGCAGAATATCGAAGCTGGTACACAGTGAGTGTATGGGCTTTGCACGTCCAATTATTCGACCGACCAAAATTTATGGGCGTTTTTCTTCCACGCACGTTAATATGTGTGCCGTGGACCCGGACACTTAAATGAATTGGAAGTAGACTTTTTTTTTTTCTTTTTTTTTTTTGTTAGAAGGTTAGCTTTTTGGTTTTTTTTTTAATTTTATTTGCGAAAAACTTAGACGCATTTTGCTCCTTCTCATGTTCATACTTTTAACATCTATTTTAAAATTTAGAAGGTAAATGAGATACAACTCCTATACAAAGTACTTAATTTTTTTCTTTTTGGGAAGATAAGTGGGAGGAAATTTGTTAATATAAAATTGTGGAAGGAAATGAAAGAAAATGAAAAGTAAAAGAAGGATCTACTAAAAGAAAATGAACAGTTCCATGGACACCAACCCCTGGTTCGTGCCTTTATAATGTATGTGATAATTTTTTTATTATATGAAAAAAAATTATACAATATTTCCTAAATTTTGTTTTTTCTAAAATTATTTCTTTATTTTTTCTTTTACTCTTCAAAATTTTTAAATTTTTTTAAAAGAAAAGTTAAATTTTCTTTCCTCAATTGAAATCTCAACTTTTTCCTTTTAAAGTTCTTTCATTTTTTTTCTTTATCTTTTTTTAGTTCTACTTATTAAAATTCTCTTTTTAACGTGCATATTTGAATAATTTTCTTCTTCTTCTTCTTCTTATTTTATATTTTATATTTGTTATGTTATATATATATTGCACAGTTCTTTTTAGCGAGTAATTTTATTTTTACTAATTGGACAATAGTTTAATTGGTACAAGTCCTTATATCTAAATAAAAAATTAGGTGCTCGAACATCAATGAAGCAATTTAATGAATTTGTCTAGACTGAAATCAACTATTAAAGAGAAACTATCAATATTCATCTATTATGCTATCATTTTGGCTATGAATAAACTAATAACAACGATGGCAACCAACTATGACGGTTGCTTCTCTCTTATTTTTTGGTTTTGTTTGACAATTATTATCTTATACGGATGATAAGGCCGGCTGTGAGCATAGGCAATCCATCCAATTTAGAATGGCCTCAAATTTAGGCTATTATTAAGGCCCAATCAATAAAAAGACTTCAAAATTTTAAATTTTCTTATATAAGTTATATTATAATTGTTTCTAAATTTAGATTTGTGATTTTATATTGAATTATGTGATTGCTTATTTGTCACTTTATTTAGCTGATTTGATTTGTGTATTTTAGTATAGGAAAAAAGAAAAAATGCTAAAACTTATTATTATAGAATCCAAACCCAAATTTAACTCAATAACTTCCAAACCCAATTTTAACTCAATAATTTGAATTCAATTCTACCTATATATATGTTCTATTAAATCTTCAAATAATTAAAACTAGAAGTTAATTTTTTTTACAATGTATGATTGATCTTTTTCTCATAAATAAGAATCCTAATTTACATAATTTACTTAAAAAATTTTATAATTATACTTTGATCTGATATTTTATGATTCTCCGGTGAATTTTTGGAGTACTAGGCTTCAACTCTTTGCACCTACTAATCTAACTTCTAACTCTTATATATATATATATATATATATATATATATGTAAAGTAAATATTAATAGAGAAAGAAACCAGTGTATTGTTTGTTCTTACCTTTTCATTCAATTCTCAATTTGTTTAGCTTGTTTAAAATAATAAATACAAATTTATAAAAGAATAAAGTGTAATATGTATTAAAAAATAAATAAAAGAGCATTCATGTCTTTTTGGTATCACCACGGTTTTAATTAGACATGTGTAGTGGGAAATGTTGGGGTGAGTCAGAAAAGTTTGGGTAGAACCGGATAGGTAAGCATCCTATAGTAAGAGGAGTAGTTATGAACCCCAATCTTCACGGGGGTGATGAAGGGAGGGCCCCAATTCGTAGAAAAAAACCCACAACCCCTTGGGGTTATTCCGCACTTGGAAGAAGGAGTAGAAAAAGGAATAATTATATTGATAATTTTCTACTCTTTCCTAATATCATTAAAAACTAATCAATATAGAAATTTAATAATATGCCAAAAAAAATTATATTCTAAAATAATTTTTTTATTCTCTATCTTTTTCTCTCTCTTCCTCATTCACGTTTTTTTAATTAAACTCTTAACTAATACGTATGTATTGCCCCCAAAGATTTATATCTCTTATATATATATATATATATATAGACACTTGATCTCTGTCTGCTTATAGGGCAAGAAAACTAATCTACATTTTCTATATATACCGTTAGATTAAATCTAACGGTCATTTTTTTAAACCCGCCTATGGTATTTCTTTTTAACACAAAATCACTCCGACCCTATTTTTTGTTTCTATATTTAATTTTACCATTATCACCTACTATAACAATAAAAGGTAATTATCAAAATAAAAATAGAAACTTTTGAAAAAAAATAATACCAGTATATTTTACTAAAAAATTGTTTTATTTAGATATTTTTTGAAAGAAAAACAATACACGTATCTTTCAATTTTGCAACAACAGTATGATATTATAGCATTTTCCTAAAAAGCATCTTATTGTTCTCAGTATAAGTAAATTAATATACTTTTCTAGTATAAGTAAATTTACCACTTTTGGAATATCGAATTGATTAATTGGAATTGAAATTGAAGAAAAATTTATTTAAATTTTGAATAAAATTTTTTTCTATTTCAATTTGAAGTTGGGCATTTGGTGAAATTCATTATTTAATCTGTGACTTTGTGAGTTTGATTATTGGATGATGATGATGTACTGATTATGGTGGGACTGTAGAATCCACGTAAGAAACAACAAGGTAATAAAAAAAAAATAGGTGAAGCTCTTCTCACAACCTTATCCACGGAGAGTAATCATTTGTCCACACTTTTGTCCATAGATACAAATTGAACGCGTGAAGAAATGGAGAAAGAGTTGATGCGTAAGTGGTAATGGTAAAATAAAATATATAAATTAAAAACAGGATGACAGAGGTTTTGTGTTAAAAGGAAAGGACAAAGGTGAGGTTTGAAAAATGACCGTTAGATTAATTTAATGATCTATATAAAAAGTGTGGATTAATTTTCTTACTTCAGACATCAGAACTCTCCCTCTCCCTCTCTCTCTCTCTCTCTCTCTCTCTCTCTCTCTCTCTATATATATATATATATATATATATATATATCTTCCTTTTTCTCACATTCTCTTGCATCTTATTAATATTGGGCCCAAAGATTTATTGTATTCTTAAATAAATTTTTTTTTTCTCTCTCATTTGCATTTTTTACAACACTAAATATTAAATATGTACTTAATCATTGTTTGAGAAAGTAGTGAAACTTTCTATATTCTTTTTCTAGTTTTTATCTTTTGTTTATTTATATATTTATTCTTATTCTTCACATACTTTCTCTCATTTCTCAACGAATTGTCTCCCTTCTCCTCATTGCAAGTCTTATAGTTTTCTTTCTCCTCCACTCAATACTCTTAATTCGAACCCATTTTTATTTTATTGAAGAATTTGTAAGAATATTAGATTGGGATATTCTAAATCAAGTTATATTAACTTTTATTATTATAAATTTATGTGTGTATATATATATATATATATATATTTTAACCAAACTTAAATATAAGAATCTAATTAGTAATCTCGAATTTTATAAAGTAAAAAAGATGATTTTTAAATAAATATTATTTAATATTAATATATTATTAAAAAATTACTTTTTATTTTTCATCTAAGACCCTATATTATTTTAAGACTCCACTTATCATTTCATTCTAATAAAAATTTAACATTCTTACAAATTTGTTTCCCGTGTGTAATCTTAAGTACAAAAGTCTTACATTTAAAAATTTCTTATTTTGAGACTGCTATCCGTTTCAAGCACAAGCTCATTTTTCTTTACTACGTCCTATTTGATAAAGTGACTCATTGGCAAATATCTCTGTCTCTCCTTTTAAGATTTTTTGTATTGCAAAATTTTTGCGCAAGTTTATTAGAAAGTTTGATTTGAGTGAAAAGAATTTTGAGGTATCGATTTGACACTTTTTTTTTTTTTTGAAAAATGTTTTTAAGATCAAAGCAAACACCAAAAAAATGTTATTGAAATTTTGTTTAGAAGTAAATAATTTTATGTAAAAAAGTGTTGTGCAAAATATATATATATATCGTTGTATTTTATTACACTAATTTTTTTACTTTACTTTTAAATTTACAAGTTTGGGGAATACAATTGATGTTATAAAAGTTTCATTAGATTGGTTTTTTTTTTTTTTTTTCCTTCAACATATATATATATATATGTATTCCCCAAACTTGTAAATTTAAAAGTAAAGTAAAAAAATTAGTGTAATAAAATACAACGATATGTTAACAAGTATTGTCCCTTTTTATATTTTATTTCTAAGAGGCCACTCGGGTCGCGCATTAGATGTTCATTAACATTAAAAAACGATTCTTTTGGCCTTTGATGTTTACTCACCTTCGTGTCGTCTCTAGTATCAATCTCATCGCCATCTTTATCTTTTCCAAAACACAACTAATTTTCCTCACAGAGAAAGAGAAACAGTTCTAGAGAGAGAAAGTGATGTCGGCTCGTGTAATCACGGTCGCAAAGGACGGGACGGGAGACTACGCCGCGGTGCAGGAGGCAATCGATTCCGTCCCACTCTGCAACACTTGCCGGACGGTGATCCGGGTCTCGCCGGGAATATACCAGCAACCCGTTTACGTTCCCAAGACCAAGAACCACATAACCCTCGCCGGTCTGCGACCCGAAGACACCGTCCTCACCTGCAACAACACCGCCTCCAAAATCGATCACCACCAGGTCACATTCATTTACCTATTTGACTCTATTTCATTACCCATTTAGCTCTATTGAGTGACAGAGCATATAAATCAATCTGTTTTTTTCTTCAGGCGTCGCGTGTGATTGGGACTGGGACATTTGGGTGTGGTAGTACAATTGTTGAAGGAGAGGACTTCATTGCTGAGAATATCACTTTTGAGAACTCTGCTCCTGAGGTAAATTATCTCATGATCTGCTGAAAATCTGTGCTTTTAGGTTGTGGGTATGCTTGTTTATGATTTTGGGTTGCATTACCTATCACTCAAAGTGTCATTTTTACACTATATAAATTATCTTATGGACTGCTGAAAAATTGTACTTTTAGGTTGTGGGTATGCTGTAAATCATGTTTTTGTGACGTTTGTGATTTTGGGTTGCATTCCCTGTCACTCAAATTTCATTTTTTACACTGACACTTTTGAGAACTCTGCTCCCGAGGTAAATTATTTCATGGATTGCTCAAAAATTGTAATTATTTCATGGATTACTCAAAAATTGTACTTTTAAGTTGTGGGTCTGTTATGAATCGTTTTATTTTTTATTTATTTTGTTTATGGTTTTGGGCTGCATTCCCAATCACTCGAAGTTTCATTTTTTACAGTATCACTTTTGAGAACTCTGCTCCTGAGGTAAATTATGTCATGAACTGCTGAAAATTTGTACTTTTAGGTTGTTGGTATGCTATGAATCATGTTTTTATTTTTTATATGATTTTGGGTTGGAATTTCTATCACTCAAAGTTCCATTTTTTTAGACTATATCACTAATGAGAACTCTGCTCCCGAGGTAAATTATGTCATGGACTGCTGAAAATTTGTACTTTTAGGTTGTGGGTATGCTATAAATCTTATTTTTATTTTGTTTATGATTTTGGGTTGCATTTTCTATCACTTAAGTTTCAGTTTTTACACTATACCAGTACTCTTTTTTAGTTTCAAGACATGTATAACTTTGATATGCATTGATTACTTGATGACTTGATGTGTATTTTTTTTTAATGAGTATTGGAATTGAGTTTTGGCTTTTTTTTTTGGGTACTGGTTCTATTGGGTGTGTTGAAATTTGTGGTTTCTGGTTTTTTGTATTACTCATTATGTCATTTTTGTATTGTTTATCATGAGTGTTTTGGAGTTGCAACATTACTTAGTATATCTTTTCATGTGATTTTTTGTTATAGGGTTCAGGCCAGGCTGTGGCAATTAGAGTCACAGCCGATCGTTGCGCATTCTATAATTGCAGATTTCTGGGATGGCAGGTATTGTCACTTTCTTACTGTTATTAGTTAATAATATATTTTTTTTCCACTTTTTTAAAGGAGGACTTGGGACTTATATTAAATCTGCAATCAATCATTTTTAGATTTGCAAGCTGATGAAGAATGAATCAGAGTACATCACATTATTTTAAATTGTATAAATGGTACTGCCATATATCTCTTGTATGACATAAATAAATAAAATGCTTTTTCAGTGCTAGACATGTAGATTTATTGTTGCTGATGCGAAGATGTATTGTCACTGATGAAATATGCAGAAGCATGTCTAATTTAAGTGATTAAATGAAGCCATATATCTCGTTAGGAAAATTAATGATGGGTCTTCCTTATGCTTATATATCATATAACGAAGATAGTTGTTTGTCTCTATTAAGTGATATAGCATCTCAAAATAACCAAGGATGAAAGTTTCAAAGGTGGTTTCTCAATTGCAGTTTGATTGATTAACCAAAGCATTGCTATTAGTAGGACAAAGAAAAAAATGATAACTGTAGAGTTAAGGTGTTTTAATTTGAGCTAAAGAATTTTTTCTCCAATAATTTCTATGCAGGACACTCTATATTTGCATTATGGAAAACAATATATAAAAGATTGCTATATTGAAGGAAGTGTGGACTTCATTTTTGGGAATAGCACTGCTCTCTTGGAGCATTGTCATATTCACTGCAAGTCGGCTGGTTTCATAACTGCACAAAGTAGGAAATCTTCTCAAGAGACAACTGGCTATGTGTTCTTGAGGTGTGTGATTAACCACTTTTAGCTTGAAATTTAAATTTACTTGGTAATTGACTTGCTTATGAGGCACTTTATTGTGTGATCTTTTCCTTTTGATAGGGATTTTTTTAAAATTTTTTATATTTAAATTTAGGCTCTGTTTGTTTGGATGTAAATATTTTTCAGAAAATATTTTTTCATTTTCTGGTGTTTGGTTGTCGTAAAATATTTACGAAGAAAAAGAATACTAAAATCTAGCAAAAATAACTTACCCATCAATTTTCGGCAAGTTATTTTACACGCCCCGCCTTATGGACTCGATCTCAACCTTAACCTAGACCTCCGCTAAACGCCAAAAAATGAAAATAAAAATAAAGTTTTTTTTATCTAAAAAAGGAAAATTACGCCGAAACAAATGGAGCCTTAATATATATGTGTGTGTGTATATATATATATATAGATGTTCCATCATTTCTCAGAATCGAACACAACATTTATGCTAGCGCGATGTTATTTGTGCTTGCCTATTGCCACCAAGCAAATGCATTCAGTTTAAAGTCTTGATCTTACTTTGTATAGTGTTGTCTATTGGATATTTTGGATTCAAGATACTCTCTCAATTATATCCCCTGTACCAAATATTTTCACTATTATAATTACCTTTATGAACTATATACATCTAACAGCTATATAAAACACATTGTCTAAAGTTCATTCGTGCTGGTTGTGAACTGCAAAGTTGAAAATGTTTTGACCTGTGGATGCTAATCTCGGCTGTGCTTGCAGAATTAAGTTTTTGGGCAACCTTTTTCTATTTTGACGATGCTTCATGTTTGAAAGCATGTCACCTGGCAACTCCAAGACCATGTTATTAATAAATGATTTTTTGAAGGATCAGTAGTTTATTTATCAATACGTGTTTTCTTTTAGGCAGAGCTCATTTCCTTCTATTTCAATTTGGCGACGATTTTCCATTATCAACAAGGTAGAATTGTTACTTCAGTTAAATCTACTGATGTATGGCATCAATGATTTGATGTTGTAATAGACTTACGCTTTACATCGATTATATTTCAGGTAGGCTTCCTTAGTGTTCTCTGTATTCACTTTCTTTCCTTTTTTTTTTTTTTTTAATTTCTTTTTCCTTAGGAAATCACATGAAGGTAAGAGTCTCTACAATTCTGTAGCATTTATACAAAGCATATGTAGAGCTTCAGTAAAGTAGATGGCAAAAGAACAGAGATTTTTTTAAAATTTTTTTTTATTGTTACAGAGAGAAGCTTCTTCTTCTTACTTTGACCTTGGGGTGGTTGTGACCTCTGTTACATGGACTCTTCAAAAGTAGTGCAGTACCCGTGTCGGACACATATCCCTCGGACATAGGTATGGGATGTGTGTCAGACACTTTTGGTTGAACATGTACTTAAAAAACATATCCAATCATTCAATTACATTATATAATTACTTTAAAATGAGTTAAGTGCATATATTGAACATTATATTAGATAAAAACGTTACTTTACTCTAGAAAATAAATTAAAAAAATAATTAATAAAATGAATATTTAGCCGTGTCCGTGTGTCCTTCTATTTGGAGATTTGACACGTCCGACACATGGATACATATCCGTATTCGACACCCGTACCCGAGTCCATGTAAAATAGGTTGTGACTCCGTATTTGAGGTAGTAACTATTGCCAATGCTGACATGTTATTACCTCTCACAGTCGAGACCACTTTGACATAAATATATTGTTAGGGAAAACCTTGCTTTAATCTCAACAACATGTTCGACTTATTCTGTCCATTGTTGGTAAGTGAGTAGATTTACACACATACACATACACAAAAGGAATGAGAAGGAAATTTTGAACAAATGAGTTACTAATATTGTCAGTTATGTTAAATTGGAAACATTTTTTGGCCCTAATTATTCTTGTTTCTTTGATTAATCTTGGGGTTTTCAATACTAAGTCCACATGGAATTTAAAATGTATTATTTTAGATTAAAACACAAATGGATTTTATGTTCTTTGTTTTCTACTGCTGAGGGGCCGTTGCTTGGTGTGGTATTAAGAGCGCAGGATGCCAATCTTGAGAATGTGAGTTTTGATTCTGAGAACTGTCATCTTGTACAAATAATGTCAAAATATTAGGTTTGTACCTAGTCTACCCCTCCTACCAACCTCGAATAACGAGGACCATGTTGATTAATGGTCTTTTTTTACCCTCAATGGCATAGTTGTTCTTCTAGATTTGGATTTATGCGCTCTATGCATATTCTGTTTATGTGCTGAAGTATTTGTATTCTTCTCCTTTAAATGTGCTTCGGGTTGATATGAATGGGACAACAGTCCATTTGAAATAGTGAGGAATTTGAACACTCAATCTTTTTAAAAGGATTGTTTGATTTGTTGGGAATTCATCTATAGGTTATGTTGTTGTTGCAGTTTTCTCGTTATTTACATTTTATTCCTCTTATCGTGCCAAATATTTTTCTTCTATGTTTTCCTCCTGAGACCTATTTGTGGAATCGATGCAGATGTGTGATCACCGGCAATGGAGGGACAGCATACACGCATCTTGGACGACCATGGGGACCTTTTGGAAGAGTGGTTTTTGCATACACGTGGATGGATGCATGTGTCAAACATGTTGGTTGGAATAACTGGGGCAAAACAGAGAATGAGAGAAGTGCTTGCTTTTACGAGTACAGGTACTCCATTTCAGTCCTTTCTCTAAAATGTTCTGGAGTGGATGGCTTTTGAAGTATACAGTTCTAAAACTGCAGATTTCACTCATATTCCTACACAAAATCATTTAACTGTTCAAAATCTCTCTAAATTTAAAAACTTTGTAATTTGACTCCCACAGGCTTGGTGAACGCCCTATGTACTATTTAAGCTACACGTGAACTGGGAATGTCGAATTATGCAGTTTTTAGTTCTTGAAAAATTGGTCACATTGATATTCTTGTTTCCTTTTGCCTCTCCATTGGATGAATTCTTGAAATTTTGGTGACCCTATTTACATGTGAGCTTCAATACCTTCTCCTGGTTATACCAAAATCACTATAAAAGAAGTGACAAAAAATCCTGTTGGATATGTAAACCCCTATTGTTTCGGTGGAGGATATTGTTTTGGAGTACCCCCTCTTGTGCATTTTCTATAATTTTGCAGTTTAATTAGTTTGGGTTGTTTCAATAAATAATGCAGGTGCTTTGGGCCTGGTAGTTGCCCATCAAAACGGGTAACATGGGCTCGAGAACTGGTAGATGAAGAAGCAGATCAGTTCCTTATGCACGGTTTCATCGACCCAGATCCTGAGAGGCCTTGGCTAGCGCAGAGAATGGCCGTGAGGATACCATATGCCGCTTAGGAATTACAATGTTGCAGCATGCAGGACACTCAGCAGCGGATAATAAGAGTGACGGGTTCTATTGAAATATCTCATGTAAGGTGACTTAATTTCTTAGATGGATGCTTCAAGCCTGGGTTCATGTGAGACTGAGATATGAAACGTATCGCTTGACACCAGCCTATGTAACTCTGCAGATGAGTCGCATTTGTATGCCATAAATCTGTATTTTACAAAGTGTCAAGTTCTGCACATGTTTATGCTGAAACACTTTCAGGCATTTTTGATTTGGTGTTACTGAAAAAGATGTCTTTTGAAGTTGTATGTATCTAAGATTGAGTTTTGGTTTTGAGCAATATATAAACGTGTGGTGAGTTTCGGTTTTAAGGCCATTTTCATTATTTGAGCAATTAGGGGTTGCATTTTATATTTAATGATATTTTAGAGTTGCATTTTGACGGAATATGATGCATTCTTGAAGTAATTGTGTTTAATCGGTATCGTTATTACATGATGTTGTGTCTGCTTGTTACATTTTTAATTTATAAATTGCACTTAATCACAGCTGAGTAATCACATCATCACAATCATGAATTTTGGAATTCTACACTAAATTTTTTTTTTTAACCGAACACATTCATGTGCATCGCTATTGGCAACAGAGATAATGTCACGTGCCAATAAGGACAACACCACGTGCTTGCTGGCTCCCCATTTCAGTTTGTGATGGGCCCACACTTTTAACTTTTAGTCGTTAGTGCTAGCCAATAGCACAGTGCCACGTCAGATAATCAATCGCAAAACTGATATGGTTGTCTTTTCCTATCTCTTTCCTCATATCTCAGTTTCCTCTAAAATCTCAGACAGGAGAAAGAGAAAGAGAGAGAGATGGGAGAGGTTACCATAGGTTCAATAGTTCAGTCATGCCCCAAGAGGAGGTTACTACGCACAGTGGCGCAACCTAGCGGAGGAGCATGGAAGTGGAAGCTGAGTCCAAAATGGCAATATTGCCATGTGTTGATGGAACCAAAACCACGGACACTGGTCGTAAAGAACCAGACAACGAAGCCCGCCACCTATACTTCCAGAATTGCCACTGATATCCCGCTCTACGAGTCCCCTGCGGTACCACCCAACTCTCTCTCTCTCTCTGTATATATATATTTACAAATATATATATATATATATATATATATATATATATATATATATATATAGCCGGAATCGTCTGCTGTAGTGGTGTTGCCAGTACATCTGTTTTAATAAGTAGATGTGAAAACAGATGTATCGATGTTGAAAAACCCTACAGCACCGAAAATTAGAGCAGAGGATCCGGGCTCTGCAACGAAAATTATATATATATGGAGTTGAATTGAAGTGAAGTGAAATTTGGGTTGATGTTTTATTTTCTTGGGCAGGCTTCTTTCGATCAATATTTGGAGGATAAGCCCAGAGTATTCAAAGCAATCTTTCCGGACAAACAAAGAAGCCAACGACTTAATCAGGTTTTTTTTTTTTTTTTTTTCACTTTTCTTTTAACAACCCCTCTTTTTCTTTCTTTAAAAATTGTTAGTAGTATTCATGCTCATTGATTTTGACCTAATTAGCCCATGAACTCAGCTGGTTTTAATTGCATTTCTCTCTTTACAATGGCATGTTTAGATTTTCAATGATAGTGGAGAGAGGGCAATTAGATTCTTTTAAGTTGAAAAGTTTTTCTACTTGGGGTATCTTGAGGTGCATGTTGCAGATTGAAGTTCTGACCTTTTAACATTTTAAAAATTAGAAAATGGAACGTCATGACCCGACCCAATGTGTAGATATTATCCATTTTGCACACTAAAAATTATTTATCACTTGTATTCTCTTTTTTGTTATTATTGATTATTTTATAGGAACAATATTTCACTCTTTTCTTTTCCGGAGTCTAAAGATTCAGTTCATCATTCCATAATTTAAGTGTATATTATTGTACTCTAGAGGCGTAACATTGTGAAACGTTATTGAAGGCAATACTCAATAATTGAAGAACAAGGCATTATGGTGACGATTTACAATGCACTCCATTCTTCTTTGTCTTATTCTTGGATACAGACTCACTACAAATTATATTATTATTTAAAATGGTATACAATTTTAGGCCAGAGGGTTTACTATAAATGATGTTGGTCGGTGAACAATTAGATGCAGTGGTATAATCAGACGTCTAGAGCAGCCATAGTGAAAATCTTTGATATTAGAAATGAATTTAAAATAGCGTGGGATGAAGTTATTAGAAATGACTTTAAAAAGTTAAACATAGTAGGCTATATGACGGGTAATAGAAAGGAATGGAAACAGAGAATTTATGTGGCGGACTTTATTCATATGAGTATAAGGCAAGGATGACGACGATGATGATCTGAAGGCCCTAGCTCGAAAGGAATTGAGTGAGGCAGAGACTACAGGGCATATTTGAGCTCAGAGTTCTAACAGATACCTCTTGTTAGAATCTGACAATTTCGCATATCTTCATATAAGAAGTTATTTATTTATTTTCAGAAAGTAGAAGTTATTTTATTTTGCCAAACTAAATCAGTTGGGGTTTCTGAAAGATTACAAGAATGTCATCCTAATTAGTGATTGTGGACTATTACAACCAGGCTTCCAGGGTCAGTATTTTTTGTGTAAAATAGGCTTTCTTAAGCTAGGGAGAAGGACCACCAAGGCTCTAGCCGAGTGGTACGTCCTCACATTCTCAAGTAGAAGGTCGATGGTTGAAGTCCCGAAGGGGCACGTGCGTGTGTGCGTTTCTTACCAAGAAAAAAAAAAAAAAAAAAAATTAGGGAGAAGGAACTCTCTCATTCTCTGATGTCTGTGCACTAAATCCATGCAGGAAGAATGGAGAATCCAGATGTTACCTATCAATTTTCTATTCCTGACCGTCCGTCCAGTAATAGACATGAGGCTGCGGTGTAAATCTAAAGGGATAGATTACCCACCTGGAGTTCCTCCCAATATCACTAAGGTTCTTGAGCTTGACATTGTAAGTCATTAATCCAAAACAAATCTTGCATTACTGAACTTTCCGCGTTTAACATCTGTAACACACATCTTAAGGTATTTTTATGCAGATAAGATGGGAGCTTCAAGGGCTAGATGATATGCTCAAGCCATCTCACTTCACCCTTGGTGTAGAAGGAGCCTTGTACTCCGATAGACGAGGAAGGAGCAGCCGCCTTAAAGGTCTATTAGAGATGAGCATAAGCTTTGTTCTCCCTCCCGTGCTTGCTTTGGTCCCAGATGATGTTCGTCGAGATGTAGCAGAATCGGTTAGATCTTCAAAACCATCTATTTCAGAAAAATCACTCTCTCATTGATTTTAAGAATGTTACTTAATGATAACGAAGAAATGAGAATTAAATGGTCTAAAAAATATTCTAACGAACCTATCTTGTGTATGCATGTCTCAATAGGTGCTATCAAGATTGGTGGAGAACATGAAGCATAAAGTTAATGGTAGCTTGCTTTCTGATTATAGTAGGTTCAAGAGGGAGAAACAGAAGAACTTAGTTTGAGCTCTTAGTTTGATCTGCCGAGAAACGAAAGCAGGATAGAAGCAGACCGAATTGGAGATATGAGGACAAATTGCAAAAACTCGCAAAGAGGCGAAGAAGGAGAAAGTCGGGGATTCAAGTTGTTAAGAGAAACCAATCTTAAGCAGAATTTGAAATTTGTTGAGAGATATCTTGTGTTGGGAGGCAATTTTGAAACTTTTGGGACTTAGTAATCTGAATTTCTGAATTGTAGAGACATGAAGACAGTTGTTTTTATTTTGGAAAAAAAAAAAACGAAATGTAAAAATGCAAAATGCAGATGTTTTTCAATTTAACATGGTTGACTGGAAGAATAAAAAGAGAAACTGATTTGTAATGATGGAGATGCGGGGGATCGAACCCCGTGCCTCTCGCATGCAAAGCGAGCGGTCTACCATTTGAGCTACATCCCCAATATGTGATATAAATTATGAATAAAATTATACTTAAATAATTATTAAACAATTTCTAACTAAAAATGATGAGTTTAAAGAATACGCTACGCACGCTACATACGTATATTTGGAAATTTCTAAAACCAGTGGCACGTTTTGTTTTATGACACATGATATGGCCGATTGAGTGTACCATCACATCACTTGCTCGCCATTATCGATCCCTCCTGCGAACGTGTGCTCGACACTCGGCTCTCGACGTCGGCGAGAAGCTCCACGCCGCCACCATCACCACCGGCCTTTTGGTCCCCCCCAACTCATTCCTCCACAACGCCATCCTCCACTTGTATTCTGTGTGCGACCGCGTGTGGTCTGCGCGCAAGGTGTTCGACGAAATTCCCTACTCGCACAAAGATACCGTTGATTGGACAATCTTAATGGGTTGTTACACCCGCAATGGATTGCCCATGGAGGCACTCAGTTTATTCGTCGATATGCAGAAACAATGTGTGGTGTCTGATGAAGTTACGTTCGTCTGTGTATTTAATGCTTGCGCCAAATTGTCTGACAATGTGTTTGGGGTTCAAGCGCAAGTTTGTATGATCAAAATGGGTTTGTGTTCTGGTGTTAAGGCATGTAATGCGGTGATGGATATGTATGTAAAGTGTGGTCTTTTGACTGATACAAGGCGGGTTTTTGAGGAAATGAGGGAGCGGAGTGTTGTTACTTGGACTGTGCTTTTGGAGGGTGTGATTAAAGAGGAGGGATTGGAAAGTGGAAGGTTGTTCTTTGATGAAATGACTGAGAGAAATGAGGTTGCTTGGACTATGATGATTGTGGGTTATGTTGGGAGTGGCTTCACTATGGAAGCTTTTTCGCTTCTTAGGGAAATGGTATTTGGCTTGGGCTTAGGGCTAAATTATGTTACGCTTTGTTCATTTTTATCGGCTTGCACACAGTCGGGGGATTTGGTGATGGGCAGGTGGGTTCATGTGTATGCTTTGAAGATGATGGTGAATGAGATGGATATCATGGTGGGTACAGCATTGCTTGACATGTATGCAAAATGTGGTAGGATAAACGCTGCATTTCAAGTTTTTAAGACAGTGACTAGTAGGAATGTTGTGGCATGGAATGCCATGCTAAGTGGTCTAGCAATGCACGGACAGGGTAATGTTGTGGTTGACATCTTTCATCAGATGGTAAAAGAAGTCGAACCAGATGATGTAACCTTTACAGCTGTGTTAAGTGCTTGTAGTCATTCTGGTCTTGTTGAACAGGGTCGCCATTATTTTTATAACCTCAAATCAGTATATGGTCTAACACCTTCAATGGAACACTATGCTTGTATGGTAGATCTGTTGGGTCGTGCTGGTCATTTAGAAGAAGCTGCGATTTTAATAAGGCAAATGCCAATTCTCCCAAATGAGGTTGTCTTGGGATCTCTTATTGGTTCTTGCAGTGTCCACAGAAAGTTGCAGTTGGGGGAACACCTTCTTCAAGAGCTGGTTGAATTGCATCCCCTTAACACTGAATATCATATCTTGCTTTCTAACATGTATGCTCTAGCAGGAAAGCAGGACAAGGCTAATTCTCTTCGCAGGGTTCTTATAGAAAGGGGTATTAGGAAGGTGCCCGGAATGAGTTCTATTCATGTTGGTGGCAGAACTCATCAATTCAGTGCCGGGGATAAGTCACACCCACAAACTCAGGAAATTTACTTCATGTTGGATGAGATGATCCGTAGGTTGAGATTGGCTGGCTATGTCCCCAACACGTCGGCCCAAATTTTATCTGGCTGTGATAGTGTTGAGGATAATGCAGATGATTGGGAGGAGAAGGAGCAGGCATTGTTCTCTCACAGCGAGAAGCTGGCAGTTTGTTTTGGGCTTATAAGTACAAGAGCTGGTGCGCCTCTCTACATTTTCAAGAATATACGAATTTGCCAAGACTGTCATTCTGCTATGAAAATTGTGTCCGCCATATATGACAGGGAAATTCTTATTAGAGACCGCAACCGTTTTCATAGTTTTAAGCAAGGTTCATGTTCTTGTTGTGATTATTGGTGATCTGAACTGAATTATGCTGATAAATGCAGAGAGAAATAATCCATGTAATTTGTCATTAGTGTATATTACTAGTATTATATATCTACTACGCATTCTCGGTAAAGCCAATGATGAAGATCGAGCTTGAATGCATAATAAAATAATGGGGAAACTGAGCTTCATTTTGATGGCCTGTACATGTTGGATTCTTGCATGACAGTTGAGATGGGAAATTAAAATTTGTTAGAAAAAGTTGGGTGTGACTGAAGAGATTGGCAAACGTTGGGGTTTCATTGTAATAAAGGCAAAGCCGAGGGGATCTAAATAAATTTTACTCGAAATAAGTGTTTGCAAGAGAGCAATGATAAACAATATTATTATACACTACATTCAAAATCGAGTTGACTGATTAAAAAAAGATAAAAATTAAGGAGAGATCAGCCCGGCAAAATAAAAAGAAAAAAAATTGTAATGTCTTAAAATTACAAAGGACAATATTAAATTATATTCAAAACACAATCAAAAAATAGAGTGCAGATAATTTCGAATATAATACTTTTTTCTTTTTCTTTTTTTTTTTTAAAAAAGGCTTGTCGATAAAAATTTGACCACACACGCTATTTTTCTTCTCTTTTATGTCTATATTTTTATTTCAATAATACAAAATACTAGAAATAATAAGAAAGTATGGAATGTTATAAAGTGATGGAGAATTTCAAAACATTGAAGAATTTGTATTAAATTAATAAATTGGAGAAGATTTTATAAAAGTTGAGAATTTGTAAATACCTAATTATTTAGTTAGATAGTTTTAGAAACTAAATCCATGGTAATGCATTGTAGTCGTGAAGGAGATACTTATATATAGGCAAGTGTCTATTAGAACCAGCTAACGGTAAAATAGAATAAAACCTAAACGATTACCCCAGACAAAAAAATAAATAATAATAATAAATAATAATAGGATGACAAAGAAAATCAAAACATTCTAAAATTACGAGATAAATATATAATAAATATTATACACGACTAATTCAGTTTTTTAGTATTTGAAAAAAAGTAATTCACGTTGTTAATACACTTGACAATTTGGAAGAGTTATCCATATTGTTATGAAAATATGTAATGATAACTAATTAAATGTCTAATTAAATGTCGGTACCCTTCTCACCAATAAAAAAAATTATATAAAAAAAAGGTCATCCAAATTGTTAAGACGCATTTACTCACACCTTGGACCAGTGCATTATAACAAGTCATTCAAAAATTCTAAAATAAATAAATTGTACAAACAAAAAAAATGAAAGAATTCTAAAATTATGAGTTAAACATATAAATAGACACGTGTAATGATACTATAGATGACTAATTAAAAAAATATAAAAATAAAAAAATTATTGACGCTTGAACCACTGATTATAAAAAATTATAATACATTGGACCACTAATTATAAAAAATTAACGTGTAATAATGACTAATTAAATGTCAATACCCTTTTTGAAAAAAAATAAAAATAAAAATAAAGTCATCCACATTGTTAAAACACGTATAATGGGACGACTGGTTATAAAAAGTCATCCACGTTGTTACGACACATGTAATAACACCTTAGACAACATATTAAAAACAGATGCTTACATGCATGCCCTCGAGAGATGTAGAAAATATACGAGTAATTGATAACAAATCACTTATAAAAAGAGTCATCGAAGTTAATCGTTTTATGCAAGTAGGACGTGTGATAAAAGAAAATTTTAATCAACATTGCTGCTATTGTTTTCCTCGGCTAAGAGAGAAAAAAAAGAAAGGTATTGCATTCTTCTTCTTTGTAAGGAATTTTAAAAATTTGCTTTTATTTTATTAAAATTGATTATTGGGGTGTTTGTAGTGAATGATCGACTATAAAAATATATATGCATTTGTATATCTAAACTGACAGTCTGATTTTGAAACTTGAATCATGTATCATTGCTTTATTTTTTTTGTTTTTTCAAAGTGTTGGCAAATTTGGTGACATTATCGAGTAGAATGTCATTTGCCACCTCTAGAGTTCAAGATCTTATAAATTCATTGTCAACCATTAACTTTATTTGTTTACTGTGAAACCAGAAGGAAAAAAATTAAAAAGATAAAATTTAAATGCCAGTTTTTTTTTTTGGCTTTGGAAAACAATTCACACAGGGCCGTTTGGTAACAGGATGTGATTAGCAAAATGGTGGTTTTGATTTCTGGCGTTGCAACAGAAATTAAAATTATGTTTAGCAAAACCTCCCCTTTTTCTAATTTTAAAAGTAAAATAACATAATGTAAATTCAATACACTGATATGCAAATTTCTTATGTAGATACGTCCCCACTCCGGTTAAGGACAAGTTTGTTAAGGGTTTTAGAAATCTGAACCCGCTCCAGTTAGTAATTACAAAAATACATAAATATATGTTATAAAATTAGCTAAAATATTTTTCTTTTTTCTGTTTTTCATCATAATTTAAAATTATAGCTTCAAAGTTACGAAAATTCGTCATTTTGACTTATAAAATATAAGTTCATAAAGAAAATTTTCTAGAAATATAGTACTTTTTTCCCTTTAGTAACTAATAAAGTATTTTGTGAATTCTTGCTCCAGTTTTTCTCTGGGATTGACATTATTTTTTCTCATCAGTTCGTTCTTTATCATATCATTTCAAATCAATTATATTTTATCTTGCAGAATTATGGAGCAGAAGCAGACAGATATAACTGATTTGAACTCTGATCTATTGAAGCAAATCATAACTTATGTGGTGAATTCTTCAAATGGAGCAACTAATTTTGCAAGGACGAGATCAGTGTAAGACTTTCGCGTAAAGTGCAAAAAACCCCCCCTTGAATCATATTTGAATTTGCAAATAACCCTCTTGAATTATATTTTATGAATAAAACCCGCTAAACTATCTAATTTTGTTGTAACATGCCCCACGGACTATACTATGTTTCATTAAATGATCATAATACCCATTCTTATTGAGTTACATTTATTATATTTTCTTATCTAAATAAATTATGAAAGAATTCATACTAATTTGATGAGATATTTTCTATTAAATTTGCATAAATTTACCTTTAATTTTTAAATTAATTATTTAAATAAAAAAATTTATTACAAAATTAATTATTTTTTAATGAATGTATTACATGAAAAGAAGGTTTTTTTTTTTTCAAAAGTATTTTATTAATTTTTCATCAATATATTATATGAAAAAGATGATATTTTTTTACGATAAATTTTTTTAAATTGGTTATAATACATTTTATTATAAATAATAAAGTTTTAATAATAAGTTAATCAATTTAGAAAATGGTAGTTACAAATCTATTTATCTAATTTTTTTTTCATTTTTATGATAAATTGATACTAATAATAAAATTAAGGTAAATGGTATAATTAATATTTACATAAGAGAAAATATAATAAAAATAATTTAATAAGAAATGAAAATTTTATTGAGAGAGTGTAAAATAATCTTTTATGATGAATTTGTCCTTAATTGTAACAAATGTTCAAGGGACAGTTTTTAATTTAGGGGTTATTTGCAAAAGGATAATAGTATTGGAGGGTTTTTTTACACTTAACCCAAGACTTTATGATAAATGTATTTGTGGTGACATGTCATTAAGTTGATTACCATCTCAATGTTTTTGTTATAATTTTTAAATTTGTGTTTGAGATTCAAAGCCGTAAGCTGTTCCGGTTTAAATTCGTCCAAAATAACTGAAATTTTTTTATGTCCATCCAAAAAACCAATGTATTATAAATTTTTATCTGAAACACTCACTTCCCTTGTTCTCTGTTGCAGTAGGAGAACATGAAATAGATAATAAGGTCAATTAACATATGGCATCTTTTTTTTAAGGTTCAAGGCACAACAATTTAATGGCCCATACTGTAGAGCTCAGGTAGCTCAAATTGCTGACTTGTAGTCATAAAGAATCATTTAATCGTTTCATATGTATACTCTATTTTTTCAAAACTTAGAACTCCCTTAAGCAAGCCTCTTTGGACTCACCCCAGTTTACAAACTGAGAGTACAGCGCCCGGCCTTATGGGATGCACATCGGAAGTGATAAAGGGGCTGGCAAGGCTCTTTGGACTCACTCGGTTTTTTTTTTTTTTTTTAAATGAAACTCAGGACTCTCCTAGGCAAAGGCCCTTTAGACCTACCCCAGACTACAAACTGAGGGTGCAACGCCTGGCCCATAATATGCACACGTAGTTCGGGAGTGATAAAGAGGGCTAATGTTTAAAATTATTTTATTTTTTGTTTTTTTTATTGAAAATAATTCATAAAAATTGAATGACTGGAATCGCTCAGTTACAACATAATTGATCTCCTTCATGGGGGTTGGTGGAGTGATGGACTTCAAGCTTGATATCTAAATAGTGGTTGACACCATATATGCCACTTGGAGTTGGTTAGTGACAATACCAAAGAACAAAACTATGGTTTTAGAGTGTGATATACTAAGGTATTTGTAGAGTATACACGGTCAAATACACACACATACCCGTTCTTTTTTGCTCTTTTCTTATTTTATTTCTATTAACGTTCTAATTGCAGCTGCAAATCATTTATGGAGCTTGCTGAGGATGAAAACATCCTGAAAAAAGTTGTTTTTGATAATACAAATGTGCCTAGCTCTGATGAATCATTCTGGGACTTGTTAAACAAATGTGCAAATGCTGGAAATTCGACTGCGTTTAACTTAGTAGTAAAGGTACACGTACCATTCTTCCTTTTTTCTTTTTTCTTTTTTAATTTAATTTATTAATCTAGGTTCCAATAGATTTATGTATTCTTTAGGAAAGTGATGAACTTGCATTAGTCAGCAATACATTTGCTACTTTTCTTGAACTTCACACCTCGAACTGCACAAGTTTGCATTCTTAATCACTATATTTGGTTTCTAGTTGCATAATATTATATGTACTTGCTAATTGTTATACATGTTCAGGATCTTAAGAAAAGAAAGGAATCTCTAAAGGCGAAGATGAGGGCTATTGTGGCAGCCAAAGAAGGTAATTATTTTGTCCTCTTGGAGTATAGATAATGAATTAATGATCCAAATTCTCGCTAATTAATACATACATGCAGATTTTCTGGAAAAGATGGTGGCTGTGAGAGTCCAACGTACAAGGGTGAGAGTTAGAGCTGCTGAATCAGCCGAGAAGGTAACTACAGTTTCAATTCTTGTTCACGTTCTCTCTTTTATTTTGCTCGACTTCATATCATCCGCGCATTAATGGATCATGTCAAGCAGGAGATGTTGGAGATGATTCTCGATGCTAAGACTGACGCGGTTCAGATTTGCAAGGAGATCACCGAGAGGCTGGAGAGAATTGTACATGCTGCGATTCCTCATGAATTGCAGTCTTGGTGGTATCAGGAGTTGCGTTACTTGCTATCACCAGAGTGACTCCTCTTGAAGCTATACTCAAGAATTATGTCAAGCTTCTTGTTATTGCTCGGGTGTTGCCTCTAGATACAGCTGATTTGGCATACTACGGAGGAGGGGGACTTGAACATGGGCACAAATGGTCATTTACCTTCCATCTGTATACATGTCTCGTTCTTATTGGTGGGAATTTTTTCCTCTGCACCTAAATTGAATCATTACTGTCTCTAAACGGCTAATTAGTACAGCTTTTTGCAACATAACAAGAATGAATCATGACCAAATATGAACACCAAAGCTTTTTCACTGCATTCCCTCTTGCAGGTGGGTCCAGGAGATCAAATCCCATGCGGTTTGGCACAGAGAGGTTTTGCAACAAGCCTTCTCTGGAATAAGGAAATTGATTGTGTTGTATGGCACAGAAAACATCAACAAATTTGCAATAAAAAAATAATAATAATAATTACACCATTTCAAATCTCATGCAACAATCTCACGTGTATTAGGACTGATAACGCAACGGATCGATTCAGTTGAAGGGTAAAGTTCAATCCAATTGGTCCCTACAAATTGGTGAAATTTAAAACCGAACCGATTCATGGGGACTTCAATCCGAACCGAACTGATTCGTGAAATACGGATCGAATCAGTTCGGTTTCTACGAATTGAACTTTTCAAACAGCCCAATATAATTACACTTTATGGTCTATTAAAATGTAAAATTAGTAATTAAAAACCTGTAATGACTAATAACTTTGGTGACCTATGGTTAACTTAAAGTCTTAAATAATGAATAAAAATAAAAATAAAAATACAATAAGTATATATATAGTTATATATATATATAATATATAATTAAGGTAGCGGATCGGATCGATTTTTCCAGGATTCAGTTAACCAACGGATTGCTATTTTTCTAAACCATCACCCAACCAAGAGATTTGAAAACCAAACTAAACCACACAGATCAAATTGGTTCAGACGGGATTGACGGATTATTTACTCACCCCAACATGTACAGAACATCCATATGAAGCTCAGTTTCACCATTATTTTATTATGCCTTCAAGCTCAATCTCTCATCATTTGCTTAACTGAGAATATGTAAATATATAAAAATATACACTAAATAAGATTAGTTCAGTTCTGACTATCTTTGATTCGGTTAAAAAGATTAGTATTAAACAAACAGTCAAGGACAAATTACAAGGGGCACCATCCCCACGCATATACAATAGAACACAAGCAAGGCCAGAAACACCCATCCTTGAGCCGCACTAGTAACAAAAAATGAACAAACACATTCAGCCAGAAAACAGACATACAAGCAACAGAAGAACAAAAACACTCATACACGAAAGTGGCCATCCGTCAGGTTGAAAATTGAGCGAGGCAACCCCCATTCCATTTGGATCCACATATCCTCTCGGGACTTAGTCATTTAGGAAAACCCCCCCAAGGTACCACCCTTTAAACTTGACCGGCTCCATTATCTCAGTTTGTATGGTAACAATATTCCTATATGAGTTAGAGTACCGCCTGTCATTTTTTTCCCTCCAGATAATATACACAGTTGCAGCTACAGTGAGCAAAGAGGAAGAAGACTTCTCAAGTGATTTCTCAAGGTAATGTTCAAGCTTCTGCTCAGGAAAATACTATGGCTCCTGTTACTCCAGAGAATCCAATAAAGACGGGATTTTGAAAAAAAACTATAGTACCTAAGGGATGGATTATGATTGATAACTATAATCGTTCCGCTCTAGGTAGAAGAATTTGGCTCTGTTGGAATCACAAGAAGAACATGAACCTGGCTTGAAACTATGAGATCGATTGCAATCCCTAATAACAATTTCTGTCATATATGATAGACACAATCTTCATAGCACAATGACAATCTTGACAAATTTGTATATTCATCAAAATGTAGAGAGCCACACATGTTAGAAACTGCCTACTGCTCGCTGTGAGAGAACAATAGCTGCTGCTGCTCCTCCCGCTCATCTACAATATTCTCAATACTATCACAACCAGATAAAATTTGGGAGGAAGCGTTGGGGACATAACCAGCCAATCTCAACCTATGGTCATCCCATCCAACATGAAGTAAATTTCCTGAGTTTGTGGCTGTGAATTATCCCCCCACTGAATTGATGAGTTTTGCCACCAACATGAATATAACTCATTCCGGGCACCTTCCTAATAGCCCCTTTTTTAAGAACCCTGTGGCGGAGAGAATTAGCCTTGTCATGCTTTCCTGCTAGAGCATACATGTTAGAAAGCAAAATAAGATACTCAACGTCAAGGGGATGCAATTCAACCAGCTCTTGAAGAAGGCGTTTGCCCAGCTGCAGCTATCTGTGGACTCTGCAAGAACCAAGAGGGATCACAAGACAACCTCATTTGGGAGAATTGGCATTTGCCTAAAAAAAATCGCAGCTTCTTCTAAATGACCAGCACGGCCCAATAGATCTACCATACAAGCTAAGTGTTCCATTGAAGGTGTTAAGACTTAGACCATATACTGAATTGAGGTTATAGAAAAAATGGCGATCCCGTTCAACTAGACCAGAGCGACTACAAGCACTTAACACAGCCATAAAGGTTATATCATCTGGCTCGACTTCTTTTACCATCTGATGAAAGACGTTCACGGTTCAGCACAACATTACCCCGTCCGTGCATTGCTTGAAAACTTGAAACACAGTGTTTATCCTACCACATTTAGCATACATGTCAAGCAATGCTGTACCCACCATGATATCTATCTCATTCACCACCATCTTCAAAGAAGAGACATGGACCCACCAGCCCATCACCAAATCCCCCTATAAAAATGAATCAATTGTCATATAAGTAAATCCCAAATCCCAATCCAATTACCATTTTCCCAAGAAGCGAAAATGCTTCCATAATAAAGCCACTCTCAACATAACCCACAATCATCATAGTCAAGTAACCTCATTTCTCACTGGCATTTCGTCAAACACCAAACTTCTACTTTCCAATCCCTCCCCTTTAATCACACTCTCCAAAAGTACAGTCCAAGTAACAATACTTCGCTCCCTCATCAAATTAATCAGAAACCCGCCTCGACCGTGTCAGTCAAAAGACCACATTTTACATACATGTCCATCACCGCATTACATGCCTTGACAGCAAAACACAAACCCATTTTAATCATACAAACTTGAGCTTGAAACCCAAACACATTATCAGCCAGTTTTCGCATATCGACCAATAAACTGAGTGCCTCTATGAGCAATCCATTGCGAGTGGGGAATTTCGTCGAACACCTTGCGACACGCATCATTCAAGTGGAGGAATGGGTTGGGAAAGACTAAAAGGCCGGTGGTGATGGTGGCGGCGTGAAGCTTCTTGCCGACGTTGAGAGCGGAGTGTCGAGAACAATGCATATGTTCTCAATTGGCCACGAGGAATTTTGTCGAACACTTTGCGAGCCGAACGCACGCGGCATACAAGGGGAGGATGGTGGCATGGAGGAATGAGTTCGGGAAGACTTAAAGGCCGGTGGTGATGGTGGTGGCGTGAAGCTTCTCGCCGACGTCGAGAGCGGATTGTCGAGCACATGTTCTCAAGAGGGGACAACACTCGATTGGGCATATCATTAGCCATAAAAATAAAAAATAAAAAAATAAAAAAGAAGAAAAGAATAAGGTTTTAGTTTTCTTAAATAATAATAATAATAATAATAATAGTAAGGTTTTAGAAATTTTTAATTGCATCAAATATCTGTAGCATACTGCTAAAGTTTTTTTTTATGACAGTGAGGGAAAGAAAACTAAGAAGCAGAAAGGACCATAAAGTCCAAAATACGAAGGAAAATTGGAAATAAGTACAACATGTGATTTTTATTTTTATTTTTTTCTCTTTTCTTTTTCTTTTTCATTAACATGAGTTGATTATTTATAGAATTGACACAATTATTAACCGTGTTGCATAATTAAACGTGTCAAATATATATGTCAATTTCATGTTAGAAATTATAGGTGTCGGTAAATTTATATATTAGTGTCAAAAATGACATAAATATATATTATCGTATCCATCGAGACACTAATCTACTGAATTATTGAGGCATCTACATATTTGATTATATTTCAAATGGAATTACTGAAGAAAAAAATTTGTATAGTAAAATAAAATTATCAATAGATAAATGAAATGGAGAAAAAAACAATTGATAAACTTATAAAATTACTGAGGGGCAAATATATACCATTCAATTTGGTCAATTAATAGTCTTGCATGCAAGAAATAAATAACTTTGTATTTACTGAAGAAAAAAAAAAAAAAAAAACATATACATATATATATAAATATGTAGATATTTAGTTCACTATTTTTAAAAAATTAATCTTTTCTTTGTATTATAAATAGGAATGGTAAGAGTGTCGTTTGTAATACGGTAATAAATGACAACTTTTAGGATGAAATGTTTTTTCATGGTAAGTGTAATGTGTTAGCAACCAATATGAATTTTCATTACCTCCCCTATTTACATAAATACGTAAATTACCCATGATAAATAAATAATTTTAAATATACTATAAATTGTAAGGGACTAAAATTTAACGTCTAATCCATAAACCGAACAACCGAAACAGATTAAAAACCTATCGACACTGTCGCCTCTGACAATAAAAAATACTGTACATTTAGGTTTTCTCATTGAAACAAGCTATTAAACATCCCTTGCCGTTCAAGCGCAACCCAAGTTTATCGCGATCGATCACTATCGACAACTGAAAGGTACTTACATCACTACCCATCGATTCTTTTTTCTTCTCTTTCTTTCTTTCTTCTTGTCTCAATTAGCATTGCAAAAGGGATCGACTAGTTCAAATGTATATTCAGAATTACATAATCTGAAACGTGAATCATGCCAATCATAAAAAACCAGAGAAAGAAAAAATAGAATTAAAATTTTTTTAAAACAATTTACTTAAAAGACTGTTTACTACATGTTTGGTTTTGATATCTTGGGGTTGCGGCAGAAAGTAGAATCTAATTGCAAGTTCAATAATAATGTTTTACTACAAAGTTTTTTCATCCTAGAATACCCATTTCTAACAGCAGTATATCCTTGGAAATCAAATCACCTCTTATATAAACTTAAAATTTTATTTCAGTTTTGTTTAATTGTTCTTAGAATATATGACCAAGTTAAAACCACATTTTGTTATTCCCACTGGAATCTTTTCTACCCCTAATGCAGTTGACATCCAGAATACATCATTACACCAAACTCCCTATGTAAATACCGCTGTTGTCCACAAAAACCATAACAAATAAATGCCCCCTAAAATCTTTATTCTTATAGAGAACAAGTAGTAGCATGTTTTGCATTTAGAGATGGTACCCCAAAATTTGATTCGTCAATTCAGTTGTTAGCTTCTGGTTTGTGTTTATAATCAATATTGAGGTCTATAATCAATATTGAGCTCATGTTCTCATATGAGTAACGGCAAACTATCAATATTCTATTTTTTCTTGTAATTGTTGTTAGCTTGCAATGAGGAAGTGCATCGAATTTATGTGTTTGATTGTATTATAAGAGGGTTAAGTGCAAAAATTCCCCCTCAACTATCGATATAGTGCATATCAATCCCTGTGTGGTAAAAAAAACCCCTATACTATCAATTTGGTGCGAATAGGTCCCTGGGTGATGTAAAATGACGATAATACCCTCACTTCAGTTGAATAAATTAGTGATTATAAATACAGGCTATGTAAAATGACCCTTTTGTCCAAATTTGTATAAAATGGGGTTTGTTTGGCAGAAAGATAAAATAAACCTCAAATTGTATAAAATAGGGATAACCTAAACCTGAATATAATTAAATCTAAAACTAAACATGCCCTTTTATATTTTAAAATATAAATAAATTTGTCATTTATATATACATATATATATATATATGCACACCATATATCATTAGGGCAAATCTATAGGCCCATGGATGATGGGTTGTAGCGCAAATCATTTCAACCTCCACCTCCATCGCTATTCTCGTTCTCAACTCTGAACTTGTCCCCTCTCTCTCTCTCTGCAACTGCAAACTACAAGAATCAGAAGTTCAAAACCCATATATTTTAGTTTATCTATCTGTCTGCAAGAATCAAAAGTTCAAAACCCATATCGGCATATCATTTCAGATTGTTCAAAAAATCAAAACCCATATCTTTCAGTTTCCATCGCCCGCTATTCCAGTTCGGGTTCACCATTCGCAAGCTTCAGCCGCTGTTCTAGTTTGGGTTCGCCGTTACTAATCAATTTGGGCAATGTTGGTAGTTACAAAATTTTAGTATAATATGTTGCATTTTCCTTCCGTTTCTTTATTATAATAGGTCATGTTCATTAACAAGATCTCAATGGTGTAAAGCTGCATATATCCCAAAATGATTTTTAAAAAGTAATGAGACAAACAGGGAAAACAAAAGTGCTTTGCTCCCATCAGTTCAATCTTCAAACCCTAACTCAAATAATTGGATGGAGCATAAACGAAGTGTCCCCACCTATATATATATATATATATATACTTTCTTAATTGATAATATCCAACCTTTCAGCCAAAAATATATATCAGACTCATCAGCAATCTTTACATAATATCAGTGGATTGATAATTTGTTGGCTTCTAATCCATTACTATGTCACAATCAATAAAAGAAACCATGCCAATCTCATGTTTATCACATGGCTTCAACCTTCATGCCTTACTGCTCCTAAATAGCAGACAGGGGAGGCCACAGAAGAGTTCATTAGTTAAATACACACACAATGGGGATGCACCATTTTATACTTATATATATATATGTATGTATATCTATCTCACATCGAGGAACTATTCTTACTGCTCATAAATTGAACAAAATATCAGCCCATATATACTTGCATTGCGTAGATATTATCCATTTTGCACACTTTTCTTTTGATATTACGGTTGTCCTCAAAACAAGTATGCATAGTTAAGGAGTGCCAAAAAAATTTCTAAGACAATTAATAATATAAATAGTGTGCAATTATGGATAAAGAAAGAAATGAAGAAATGGAGAAATAAAAAAATTAACAGAGGAAAAAAAGAATTGAAGCAGACATGGAGAAATTAACATAGGAAAAAAAGAATTGAAGCAGACATGGAGAGAGAGAGAGAGAGAGACACGAATTGGGTCTAGGGGTGGGGGATCCTTATATGCACAATTGGTGAGGGCCTTATATGCACAAATGGATGAGGGGCAAAATGGGAAACAAAAGGGTAAAATGGGATTTTCAGTTTTACTTTTTGTAAAAAGGTGGTCAGAGGGACTAGTTCTGCACCTTTTTTGAATTTTGTGGACTTGCATGCACATTTTCAAAAAGTAGGGACTAGTTTTGCACAAAGTCTATATATCAGGGGGGTTTTTTGCACTTAACCCATTATAAAAAGATTGGTATAAGTTTCCCCAAGTAACATAGTACTTTTTTCTCTTTAATAACTAAAAAAGTACTTCATTACTAACTGATCCTTTTTACCGGAGGATGTTTTCTAAAAGGAAAATATTGTGATGGGGTTGCTCCAAGTGAGCTCGCGTCCTCATCATTGTTGCATCACATGCCTGACAAAAATTTCTTTTTAGAAATGAGTATGTTTGTCACATGGTAGGTTCAGATGCACGATCATGAATTTTGTAGCTACTCCTTATTGATTTGTTCTCTCATTGCTTAGTTGGTTATCAATTGACAGAAGGTTTAGTAATCTTTTATGCATAGCAGGTTTCTTTGGAGGACCAAAGACAATTAATGTATAATATCCCAAGTTTTATTTCCTATATTATTTATAACATTTGGAAGATAATATTTTATGTTGCAGAATTATGGACCAAAAGCACTTAACAAAAAAAATGATGTACCAAAAGAAGACAAATGTTACTGATTTGAATTATGATGTATTGAAGCTTATCATAAGTTCAGTAGCAAATTCTCCCAATGGAGCAGTTAATTTTGCAAGGACGATATCAGTGTAAGCCATTTTGAGGAATGTATTTGTGTTAGCCTGTCATTATATTGATTACCATGCAAAGGTTTCTGATATAATTTCTAAATTTTTGTTTCGAGATCCAAAGCCTCGAGCTATTTGGGATTCAAATTATTTGGATTTAAAAATTTTGATTGAACTTTATGTCCATCCAAGAAACCTATGTATTAGTAGAATTTTTGAGTTAGAGAACATGAAATAGCTAAGGTCAAGTATCATATGGCATGCATGTTTATTTTAAGGTTGAAGGCAACACCATTTAATGGGCCATACTATAGAGCTCAGGTACCTGAAATTGCTGAATTACATTGTAAAAATTGTCCTAATGTTTTCATATGCGTACTTTATTATTATTTTTATGTTCTTTTGAACTTTTCAACCATTCCAGAAATTGAATAATTGATCTCCTTCTTGGGGCTTTGGTGAATGATGAACTTCAATCTTGAACATAAGCATATGACAGGAGGCATGATTGGTGTCTGCTTAAGAAAAAAAGTGATGCATGAATTAAGCCATTCAATAGGAATTTGATGGTTGTTAGGAAAATTGGTTTTCTGGAATTTTTTGGCTTTTTGGATGGACATATATTTATCCGAGTTGGATTGAAGAATTTTTGTAAGCGTGTGTGTTTTATTTATTTTTTTGGTTTGCTCTGTTAAGAAGTTTTGATTGTGATATCTAAGCTATTTGTAGAGTATACACAGTAAAATACACATATATCCTTTCTTTTTTCTGGTTTTATTTATATTAACGTTCTAATCACAGCTGCAAAGCATTTAGGGAGCTTTCGGAGGATAAAGACATTTTGAAATCTGTAGATTTTGATGATGTGAGAGTTTCTAGACGTGATAGATCATTCTGGTACATAAATGGCTTGTTAAGCAAATGTGCGAATGCTGGAAATTGGACTGCTTATGACTTGGTATTAGAGGTAACATATACCTTTCTTCCCTCCATTTTTGCCCCTAGTTTCCACTTGATTCTTTAGCAATGTGATGAATTGGCATTAGTCAGAAATACATTTCCTACTTATCAAATGAACCTCCTTTGACTAGTTCACTTAGGAGGCCTTTTCGGTGGTGCCTTAAATTTCTTTCCTTTTCAAATTCCTTGAACTTGACTCCTTTAATTGCACAAGTTTGTATCCTTAATCCCTATATTTGCTTTCTAGTAACATTTTGTTTTTCCTAGTTGGTACTCACACACACTTGTCTCCTCTGAGACTTGAACCCCTGACTTCCCTTTGGGAAGTAAGAGGCTGATACCGCTAGGCCACTGACCCGTTGGTCTTTCTAGTAGCATTATACGTTCTTGCTAATTGTTACGCATGTTCAGGATCTCAATGAAAGAATAGAGTCTATGAGGGTGAAGATGAGGGCTATGGAAGCAGCCAAAGAAAGTAATAACAATTGTGATTCGTCCTCCTCTTAGAATCTCGATCATGAACTAATGAATTCTTGCTAATTAATACCTACATGCAGATTTTCTGGAAAAGATGGTGGCTGTAAGTGTCGTACATACAAGGGCAAGAGCGAGAGCTGCTGAGTCAGCCCAAAAGGTAACCACAGCTTTAATTCTTGTTCACATGCATTTTCTCCTTTATTTGCTGGACTTTCATCTCATATGCATTAATGGATCATGTCAAGCAGGAGATTTTGGAGATGTTTCGTGATGTTGAGATTGATCGGATTTGCAAGGAGATCAAGGAGAGTATGGAAAGAATCAAGCATGTTGTGATTCCTCATAAATGGCAGGCTTGGTGGAAACGGGAGTTGAATCAATGGCTATCGTCGTCCCGGTGATTCTCCTATTGAAGTTTGCTTCAATCCTAATCCTGTGTAGCTAAGTTTCATCTCAAATTATGATAATGTTATTTTACTGAATCAATTATTGCTATTTTGCAATCTTATTTAGATTTTATTTTTTTCAATGATCGACTTGTTTCATTACTTTCTCCGATCTAAAAAATCAATATGGCTTTTTGCAACATAACAAAGAAAATATATAGTGTTTTAAAAGACATTTAGTAAGAGATGTTCTTGTATAGGAACTCTCAGAGAGAGTACTCTCACCTATACTGGACCAATTCAGCCTTTTCATGAATTATTACTAATTATTCTTAATTAACTTGACTTCGTATCTTATTGTATGATCCAAATAAATTTATTAATAAAACGAAAACAACACAAATTGAATCAATAAATAGGCTTAGCAAGTTCAATGTGAATAATGAGATTCTTCAAATTTTTTTTATTTTTTAATCATGACCAAATATGAACACCACAAAACTTATTCCCTGTTTTCCCTCTTAAATGCACTATTACACCATTTCTAATGCCATGCAAGAATTCAACATGTACAAACCATCAGAATGAAGCTCAGTTTCCTAACCGAGAATACGTAGATATATGTAGATATATAATAATATACGCTGATGACAAATTACACAGATTATTTCTCTCTGCATTTTTTTTTTTTTTTTTTTCACAGGCAAAAATATTTCTCTCAGCATTTATCAGCATAGTTCACTTCTGATCACCAGTAATCACAAGAAGAACATGAACCTTGCTTAAAACAATGAAAACGATTATGATCTCTAATAACAATTTCCCTTTCATATGGTAGATACAAACTTCATAGCAGAATTACAATCTTGACAAATATAGAAACGCACCATCTCTTGTTCCATTGAAGGTGTCACAACTTACACTGATTTGAGGTTACAGAAATATTGGCAACCCTATTCAACTTGAACAGAGTGACTAAAAGCACTTAACACGGCCGTGAAGGTTACATCATATGGCTCGACTTGTTTTACCATCTAATGAAAGATGTCCACCACAACATTCCCTCGTCCGTGCTTCGCTAGACCACTTAGCATAGCACTCCATGCCACAACATTCCTTCTGGTCATTGCTTTAAAGACTTGACATGCAACATTTATCCTACCACATTTTGCATACATATGGAGCAATGTTGTACCCACCATTATATCCATCTCAATCATACTTTTGATAAATATTTTATTTTAGTTATAAATCTATCAAATTTTCAATTTCATCCTCAACAATTTGTGATTACAAATTTTTTTCGTTTGCTCATAATTAGTCCTTTTTTTTTTAGTGAATTAATTATATAACATGTTGAATTTAAAATATAATTAATTTAATTTAAATTCAATTCAAAAGTTCCTATGTAGAATTCAAGTTACAATTTTAAACCCAAAAGTAAATACTATAGAGAAGTCAATAAATTCAACAATATTTTTAATTAAAATAATTAAATAATTTTATAGTTTATAAAAATACAACATTTATTTGGTGGGTAAAATTTATAAATGAAATAACAAAATTCAATTGCTAAAAAGAAATTTTAAACATAAATAGCTTAATAAGAAAAAAAAATAATTGAATTACATATCATTTTTTGAATAAAAGTTATAACTGTGAAGTTTTAGTTCTGGTTTAGTAAAACTATAAACGAAAAATTGAGGGGTTTAGATTTTATATAGAAAAACGTTTCAAATTAATTTAAGACTTAGTTTATTTATTGAAATTTGATAGGATTTAATTATCTTCTTTTTTTCTTTTTCTTTTTTTTAAAAAAAATTGTATGTGGGGGAAAAGTACTTAAATGAAATTGAAGGGCAAATTGGACATTAAAGGCATCTCTAACCATCTTTGACCCGAGAGGAAACTAAAGTAGGGGATTTGATTGAAAATTTGCAAAGTAGGGATCTAAATGAATTTAATCCAAAACAGTTGCATAAGTTCCAAAATATAGATGAAACAAGTGTTTGCACGGTGATTGATAAATATTGTGACAGCCAACTTGTCGCCTACATCAATTTAAATATGTTAGGATGGATTAACTTTTTTTTTATTGGATTAACTTTTTTTTTTTTTGAACTGAACTAAAATTTACTATAAAAAAATATATATATATTTGGGATGGGCATGAGCCCCACCAAAGCCCCCTAAATCCGCCAGTGGTAATGGCCTAAAACTGCAAGAGTCAAATACATAATTTTAAATCTCGTAAAATTATGTGTCAAAAAATATATAACTTTGAGACAGGTGTGTAGTGTAATTTATATACTACGTAATTAATAACTAATATAAACAATATATATTACACTATATTCAAAAAGGAGTTGACTAATGATAAGGTTATTAACAAAGTAAAGAAGATAAAAAGTAAGGAGAGATCGAGCAAAAAAAATGATAATGTCTTTAAATTACGAAGCACAATTTATATTCAAAATGCAACGGTAAACTAGGAATGCAGATATTTTCGGATATAATACTTTTGTTTAAAAATAATAAGAAAGTATGGAATGTAATAAAGAGATGGAGAATTCTAGAATATTGAAGGATTTGTATAAATGGATGAATTCAAAAAGATTTTAGAGAAGTAGAGAATTTATAAATAACTAGATAATTAGTTGGTTAGTTCTAGAAATTAAATTGATAATGATATCGATATATATATATATATATAGGTAGGCAAGAGCCTATTAGAACAAATTACAACATACAAAAGGCTGTGTGGAAAAAATAATAATAAATAAATAAAATAAACGAGGCAAATATATAACACATGATGCTTTAGACGACTGATTATTTAAGACAAAAAAAAGTCATCCACCTTGTTAAGACAACATGTAATGACACAAACGTGTAATGATAACAACTAATTAAATGTAGATAATCTTTAAATATATATATAAATATTAACGTAATATATATATATATATATATATATATATATATATATATATAAAAGAGACGTACAATTTGATGATAACTAATTAATATCGATACCAATACTAATAAAAAGTCATTATGTTATAAAAAGTCATTTACGTTGTTATGACACGTGGCGTCACTTTAAACAATCGATTAAAAAAAGACAACCACTTGACTGATAACTAATAAATATGGATAATCTTAATATTTATATATATATATATATATAATAGAGACGTACGTCTAATGACTATTAATTAAATATCCATACCAATAATAATAAAAAAGTCATCAAGTTATAAAAAGTCATTTACGTTGTTATGACACGTAGCGACACTTTACTACTTATTAAAAACGTCATCCACTTGACTGATTAAAAAAACAAGTCATCCTATTCGTTACGGCATGACACCTTAAACCAGTGTAAATGACTAATTAAATATTGATGCCATGTCAAAATGACTTATAAATAGGGTAATCGAGGGTTGACACTCTACACACCGAAACGAGTGACAATTTTTTGTTATAAAAGAAGTTCTACTTTTCTTAGCTAAAGAGAAGAAAGGAAAGGTAGCGCACTTCTTTGTACAGAATTTTGAAAATGAACTTCTACTTTGTCAAAATCGATTATTGGACGCTTGTAGTGAATGATCGACTACAAATACATGTGCATATATGTATTTAGACTAACACTTTGATTCTAAAACTTGGATTATAACATCATAATGCATCCTTATTTTTTTAAATTCTCAAAATGTTGGCAAATTTGCTGACAATGTCGAGTAGAATGTCCTTTGGTACTTCTGGAGTTTCTTATATTATTTATGTCATTTGGAAGATTATTTTTATGTTGCAGAATTATGGAGCAGAAGCACACAGAAATAATTACGGAACAGAAGCACACGAATATAACGGATTTAAACTTTGATATATTAAAGCAAATAATCCGTCCTGTAGTGAGTTCTTCAAATGGCGCACTCCATTTTGCAAGGACGATATCAGTGTAAGACTCTATGAGTACATTACCATCTAAATATTTCATATATAATTTCAATTTTGGCTTGTGAAACAAAGTCTGAAATTTTTCAGGATTTTTTTTTTTTTTTTTTTTTTTTTTTTTCCCCGGTAAGTAAAGGATTAAAATTCTTTCCATCCAAAAACCCAATGTATTGGAATTCTCTAGCTAAGGTCAAGTATCATTCAGGGCATTTTATTTTAAGGTTGAAAGCACCACCATTTAAAGGCCAATATTGTAGAGCTCAGCTAGCTGAAATTGCTGAATTACACCACAAAACATGTTCTAATCATTTCATATGCATACTTTATTATTGCTTTTAGGTCTTTTTTTAAATTATTTAAAAGGATGTGTATTTTAGATGCCCCCTGCCCCAAATGATAATCAGAGGGGGGGAAAAATACATATATATATACCCATTCTTTTTCTTTTTCTTTTTTATTTTATTTCTATTAACGTTCTAATTACAGTTGCAAAACATTTATGGAGCTTGTCAAGGATGAAGATATCTTGAAAGCAGTAGTTTTTGATGATATGAGTGTGCTCCGATCTGATAGATCATTCTGGCACATAAATAGCTTGTTGAGCAAATGTGCGAATGCCGGAAATTGGACTGCATGTGTTTTATTATTAGAGGTAACACATAACTTTCGTCCCTCCTTTTTTTTCCTCTAGGTTCCAATTGATTTCTTGTTTTGCTCTCTGTATCCAAAATCAAATATGTTTTCTTTAGCAATATGATGAATTGGCATTAGTCTGCAATACATTTGCTAATGATTAAATGATCCTCCTTTGAACTGGACAAGTTAATATCCTTAATCACTATACAGTATTTGCTAATTGTCATGTATGTTCAGGATCTTAAGGAAACAATGGACTCTGCAAGGGCGAAGATGATGGATATTGCATCAGACAGAGGAAGTAATAACGATCCCGCTAATTCTTTTGTTCTCTTGGAATATCTATATATATATATATATATATATATATATATGTATGTGTATATGTATATGTATATACAAATTCTTGCTAACATATATGCAGATTTTCTGGAAAAGATGGAGGCCGCCCAGGTAGTGCATACAAGGGCAAGAGCCAAAGCAGCTGAATTAGCCAAGGAGGTAAATACAGTTTCAATTTTTGTTCACATTCTGTGTGTTATTTGCTGGACTTATCTCATGCATTAATGGATCGTGTCAAGCAGGAGCTCACGGAGATGATTCATCATGTTCTGATTTACATCAAGGAGATCAGGGAGAAGCTGGAGGGAATCAACCATGCTGTGATTCCTCAGCAATGGCAGCCTTGGTGGAATCAGCAGTTGCAGTACTGGCTATCACCGGTGTGATTCCAAGAACCATCCGGCGAAACCAAAGTCCCCATTCCTTCTTGTGTTAAATTTTGGGGCACCTGTACCTCTTGCTGTGGTGGACCTGGTGGTGGTAGTGGTGGTGGTGGTTGAGATCTCAGATTATCGCCGCCACCACTACTTGAGGAGGAGGCTCCTTTGGCCTGCTTCCCTTTCCAACATCCACCTCCGATGGGTACATTCCTTAGGGTTCCTCCTTGAGTCCAGTACCTCCTACAAGTCAAAAAGTAGCGAGGCTGAGAGAGGAGTTGGTCACAACGAGGGCACTTGTGAGTCTCCTGCTGATGATGCAGTGGTTGTCTCGGAAGAAAGAAATAGAGTTCCAATTCTTGTTCACATGCATTAATGGATCATGTCAAGCAAGAGCTTTTGAATACTTAGATTCTTCAATATTTTTTAATCATGACCAAACACAAACCACCACAAAGCTTTTTCTGAATTCTAACTATATAAATTCCAACAAAATTTCCAGATAATCCTACTTAAAATACCTGTGAAATAGTCGTTCTCCCGCAGGTGAGACATGAAATAATGGACATGATTAATGATGAAAAATAATGAAAGTGAATCGAATTGCAACAAAAAAAAAAAAAATGAACAGTTAGTGGTGACAACCGAGCCAATCAAAAACCAGACCAGTCTCACGGGTAGTGCCTAAGTAATTATTTATATGATCCTCCAAATTCACAAGAGTCCCGAAATCTGAGGCATTTCACAGATGGGGCAGAAAGATGGGGCAGAATGGGTTTTCATTAATCAAGCAAATGAATGTTAAAACTCACACGCAAACTTTTCAAAACAAACAGCATATAAAAGAGTGCAAAGATCTTCATGTATCTTTAAAAACACCGGCAAAAAAATCCAACAACCGTGTTTTGGCTTATTTGAGCTTAAAGTATAATATCAAAATGACGGCGAGAATAAGTACTGCAATGACGGCGCCAATCATCCACTTGTTCTTGCTCATCCTTCTTGAGATGGAAGTCAAAATTTTCTTACTCCTGCTAATGTTGTCATCCACTCCATGAAGCTGAAATTAGAAAAGCAAACCGTAAGATATATATAAAGGTAGATAGTGAGAGACTGATAGTGTGTGTTTGGGGCGGAAAAAATCATCACTGTGAAATGTAAATAAAATAAAGAAATATTCGTCGAGTAATACCGTATCATGAGCATGCAAGAGAGACTGTCGCTGTTGATGCAAATCTTGGAGAATCGAAACGCCAAGGTCTTCTGTCTCTAGCATGGTCTTCCTACTTTCCCTAACTCTGTCACTGGACTTGTTTAATCTTTCAGTTGACATTAACAATCTCGATCTTTGGTCAGCTGATACCTATTTCATTCATCGCCAGTTTCTCCACAAGTTCAGAACAAGAATGAGAATCCCAAGATTCAAATGGGAGAGAATCACATATGAGAGCCCGTGGATATTTGAAACTTGAAATTGTCAAGCAAACACAAACTTTTAGATATGGAAAAATCAGACACTAAGGATTGCTTCATATTATTTTTAAAAAAACTTGTTTTAAATGATTATCATTGGCATTTTTGGATTATTTTTTAACGTATTGCTTGAAAATGTGGAAAAATGGCCATAAACAAATTCCTAAAGACTCAGCCTTCCCTGAATATTTTTTGAAAATCAATCTTAAAAGCACACCGGCAAATGATACAAACTGGACCTAAATTTGTCACAATGAGAAAATAAAATAAGTCCATAACAACCCCATACATACCGTTAGTGTATCAGCCATTCCCGACTCCAGTAATGCATCTCGTGCACTATAGTTCAAGTTACCTGATGAAATTCGTTTAACTTCACTTTTTAAATTGTTCAGATCAGATTTGTATTCCCTTAACTTAGCAAGAAGCACAGCTTTTACATTTGGCTGCAGACTTCTCGCCTCAAGGTCCATTTTTCGTATCTGAAAAAATAATCAGCAAAGATCACATTCAACTCCAAGAATATGTAAAAAAGAAAAAGAAAAAGAAAAAGAAAATTGTAGGCAACAATAAGTCAATACAGTACCAAGGATTCCGCTTCATCCAGACCAGTTTTTATTTCAGAAACTTTTTGCTTCTTTTGCTCTGCAATTAGTGAGATATTGCAAGTCCATGAGATCGACCTCCATAACCAACATGAAAAAAAATGTATGGACAAAAAAAAAATATATATATATATATATATATGGTAAAGAAAAACAAAACATAAAACTAGCAAACAAGAAACAATGATTAAACATTCCGTATGGTATAAGAATGTGTGCAAAAACCCAAACCACCGTTTACAGAAAAATCTGTTTTTGTAACCCATAACATTAGATGAATGTATATCTTTACAGCCAACTATTACCTTGAGTGGTATTGTATCCACTGCCGAATGTGATGTGCAGAGTTCATTCAAGTAACTGCAGAAAGCTGCAAAGTGAGCCGAGCAGCTCATAAATTACCTGGACTCGACTCCTTGAAATCTCATCCAAGCTCTCCATCGTGACGCCAGCTGAACCAAGCTCAAACACATGATGCAAGCTCCTCTAATAATTGAGCCGAGCATGACAAAGAGTATACTTGGCTCACTTGGGCTCAAACATGCACCAGTAGCACTATTTACTTTCATCTACTTTGATGAACAACATGAACTCATGAATCCCAACCGGGAATACTCTTTAGAGAATTCTAAGATTACTGGAATAAGGAGACTCCCAGCACAGTTGTTTGATTGGGTAAGTTACCAAGCAACAATGGAGTCTAGCAACTCCAATTTGACTTCATTTGTATTTGTTCCATACACAAGGTGTGCTCTTAGTGATGCATGGATCATGAAATATCTTGGGATACTATTTATTTTCAAAATTTTAAATATCATGTCACATCATAAAATTTAAATCTGATTCTTCAGCTTTACTGTAAAAATGATAAGTTTATGTTCAGGCCAATACTTGGTTCAGCTCCGTCATTTATATCCTATACGTGTGTATAAATATATTGTAAATATATTTCTACTGTACTACATGGGCACTTTAAATGCAGATTATCAAAGTAAATACCCCACTTCGAAAATAAAAATAGCAAAAAATTTCATTCTATATACATACTACCTTTGTCTCCCAATGAATATATAAATAAGATACTGGCCCCCTTTTCTTTTGTAGCTGTACATAATGTTTGTGTATTGCATGCATGGAGGCACAAAGGCTTCTATCCATTTCACAGACCCCTTCCCAATCTTTTCCTTCTCACGTTTATTTCTACATCTCTCTAAATACCATTCAAAAACAATGAGGGAACAGATTTGGAAAACAGATTTTAAATGGGAAAGTTTGCTACAGTATTAAATATAATGAATTATTTTTAGCCAAAAAAAAAATGTCTTTGAAAGATCAATTATCACCAGATGCAAACAGTGTGTGCACATGTGCGTTTGTTTGCATTGGCGGGTGTTAGAAAGGATTTGTGCGTGCATAAGAGAACACTAGTATTTAGTTAGATCATCTCGAAACAAATCTAAAAATAACATTAAATTTATTAAATAGAGCAGGTTCCAATACAAAAACACCATTCGTTGCAATATACATTACAAAACAAATCAAAAACATCCTTTCCCACCCTTTATTCCCTTCAAAGTTGCATGGTTCCTTCAGCATAAAAAGAGCTTCCTCTTTTCTATTTGTATGATTTTGAACCTTAACCTTTTCTGTATTGAACCCACTCCGATGAAGAAATAAAAACAAAAGGATGTCATAACCCAGTAAAGTTTTCTTATTTCTATACCCAAATTCTTTGTTCTTCCTCCTCCAACCCGGTAAAGTTTTCTTATTTCTATATCCAAATTCTTTGTTCTTCCTCCTCCAACAAATTTACCCAACATATTGAATTAAAGCAATACATATTTTGAAGGGAAGAAAGGTTGAGAGGAGCCCGATATCAAAGATTAAGTCAAAAAAATAATGTGTTTTATGCATTACTCCTTTCTTCTTCTTCTTGTTCTTTTTTATTTGGTGTGGGTGTCCAAAGTAAATAAAACACCTCATGAAAATAATGTGAAATGGATAACCAGTTACCTAAACTAGTGAATATAGAATCCTGTGCTGTGTGTTTATATGCCTACATAACATATACACATATATGTATACAAATAAGATGAATTGAATCAAGCAGGTAGCGAAATTGAAGTAGGGTTTTGTCTCACCTCCATCAAGCAAACTAGCCGAAGTGCACTTCTTCGACAAATTTGCTGAAACCTCGCAGTATTGACGTTCGTATCCTTCAAATACATCACTCATCGTGCCCAGATCTCCACCAAACCCTGTCCAACAAGATATTCACATAAATCCATTCCCATCAGGCCATAAGAAACATGAAACAATTCGATTAACAACATCTTTGGATTGTTATTATAAACGGATCGCAATATAATCATTTAATCGGACTTAAATGATAAAAATGTAAACAAATTGGAAGAGACAGATCAAATCAAAATAAAAAACTTTACTATTGTTTGAAAATAATATGATCTTGATTATTTTAATCAGATAAATTGAACAAACCTTGACTGATCGGTGAATCGGAACCTCGCCGGACGCTGAAGAGATAGCCGGGAAAATAGCCGTAGTCCGGTGGTAATTGATGTGATGTTGTTGGCAACTGTTTTGCTGTTTCAAACGACAGAACTTCGTGATATGGGTCTAAAGTGGTTTATAAAGGGAAGATTTTGAATGATGAACGAAACGCAGGGCTGGTGTTCGGACAAAGGGTCTTCATTCAATCTTTTGTGACAGCTGAGCTGGCAGGGTATAAAAGCATATTCGGGCCACGGATGGGAAGGATTAAAATTACAATTATTTATTTATTTTTTCTCTTCCAAGTATGATTAGCATTTTAATAGGTAGTGTGGATTAAATGTTCCAAATAGTTTTATTTTTTCTCTTCCAAGTATGATTAGCATTTTAATAGGTAGTGTGAAATGTTCCAAATAGTTTTATTTTTTCTCTTCCAAGTATGATTAGCATTTTAATAAGTAGTGTGGATTAAATGTTCCAACAAGTAGTGTTTAGAAATTATTTTCATTTAGTAAAAAGATTTTTGAGTTGAAAGTTAGGTCTAAAACACAAGTAAAATATGCATATTTATTGCGTACATAATAATACGTATCTAATCATTTATTACTTAACACAATGTTCGGAACTTCTCACAAATTGATCATATTGGGTGCGTGTGTTATGTTGTTAGTATACATATTTAATGAAATATAACATATTATTTTGTTATTAGTAATTTTATATATACATATTTAATGAAATATGACATATTATTTTGTTATTAGTAATTTTATAAATAATTAGGTCAATTTTTTTTAAGTAGTACTTTTGTCATTGGATGAGTGCACTAATGACATGGCACACTTAGTGCATTCAATATCTACTCCAAATGAAGAATATACTAATGACATGACACTCTTGTGGAGCCATTATCTTAATTCAAAAGTCTGTATTTAATTAATCCACTAAGTATTAATGGTCTTGGACCATTTAATAATTTATCTCAAATGAGGGCAATAAATAACTTTATTACAAGTGTTTGTACAATAAGCATATTTATCTACTTAAAAAGCATAATTACATGCCGATTTTTATTTTTCTTTTAATATTTATTTTACGATATCAGATGGTTCACGAGCCTTGATAACATAGACTATTTTGCCTATATTTGTTGGTTATTTAGACTATTTTGCTTATATTTGTGGTAGGGCTGCAAGTTGGGTTGGCCCAACCCAACTCAGCCCAGTCCCAACCCAATCTCAACTCGAATCGGATTGAGTTAGGTCAGCCCGAATTGTACTCAATATGGGTTATGGTCAAAACCTAGCCCGAATATTTTCTGGCCGGCCGAGTCGGGTTAACGGATTGAGTTTTTTTATAAAATAAAAAATAAAAAAAAAATTCGCCGAAAATTTATATATATATATATATATATATATATATTTGATTATATTATTATAAAAAAACCAAAAAAAAATTAGGGCAAATCATTTCAACCTCCCTAATCGCCTCCCGGTCTCATTCTCAACTCTCTCTTTTTCTCTGCAACTGCAAACTACAAAATCATTGTATGGACATGTATACATATATTTTTTTTTTTTTCCCTTGATTCACGAAAAGTGAGTACTGATGAGGCATCTATTTTTTTTAACCTTTAAAATTTTTTTTTTTGTTCAAAAGTTCAAAACCCATATATTTCAGATCTCTGCGTATTTATTTTGTTGTTGATAACTAGAGTTTTGTGTGAGATATATCATATATATATATATATGATATACTTTGTTGTTGAGGGCGAGGGACGACGGCGGATCAGTGGCGGCGGTGGTGAGGGCGGAGGAGCTGAGGGCGAGGGACGACGGTGGTTGCGGCGGTGGCGGGGACGGCGGCTGAGAAAGAAAGAAAAAAGAGAGAAATGAGAGAGAGGAGAGAGAAAAGAGAATTTATTTTTTATTTTGGGTTTTGGTTGGGTTCGGGTTGAGCCCGACCCCAACTCAAATATGTTTGGGTTTTGACAAAACCCAACCCGAGCATGAGTCTGATTTGTGAATTGTATGCCTAAATTTCAAATTTTCTGGGTTAGGGTTGGGCTGGGCTGGGTTAGCGCGCCCAATTTGCCGCCCTAATTTGTGAGTTACTTAAATTTATGCACTACCCTTCAAGGCTAAATAACTTTAAGAAATTAACGATTTGTTTAGAATCAAATTCTTTAGAATTTGAAATTGGAATGAAAAAAGGAATTGGATTCTGCCTAAAATGGATTTGTTTGGAATCAAATTCCTTTAAATTTGAAATTGGAATGGAAAAAGGAATTGGATTCCACCTAAAATGGAGTTCTGCTTTTTATGTTTGGAATAAATAGGAGTTCAAATGAACTAAATAACTATTGAAGGTAATTTTCAAGTGGGTGAATAATAGTTAAACGTAAATTTTACATAGGTGAGGTAATTTTGGTAATTTCAAAAATTAACACGACACGAGATAAATGAGTTTGGGTTTGGGTTTGAGTTTAGTTTAATTGTGTTCGTATCGTAATCGTGTCAAACCGAATTGATACGATAAATAAACATATGGTGTTCATGTTTAACATGTCAATCCGTTTATAACTCAATTAACCTGTTTAACTAAACATGTCGTGTTCGTATTAAAAATGACCTGTTTAACTAAATATGTTGAATAAACATGTCGTGTTCATGTCAGAAATTATTTAAACATGTATTGTCGTGTTATTTTGTGTCGTGTTAAGTCTTGGTCCATTATTAAACGGGTTACACGTGTTGTGCTATATTACTCGTATAATAATCGTGTTGTATTCGTGTCGACTTATTTAACAGAATATCCATACTTTAACATGACACGAACACGACCTATTAACACGAATTGCCACCCCTTTATGCGTAAGGTTCACGTTCCCACAGCAATAATAACACGAGGGTTAGTTTCTTGTCAATTTCTTGTCCTTTTCCAAAGTGAAAATTTTAAAATGTCCGTCCGCATTAAAAAATCCTTCAACATTAAACGGACTAAGTTATTTTTTATTCTTCAATTCCTTTAAAAGCACACAATCATTCACACAAAGACGAATTTAATAATTATCAATGGAATGAACTAATATTTATTTGAGTGAGTTAATACTAATAATATATATATTGCTAGGCTAAAATTAGTTATAATAATAGAATTTTTTTTCGTTTTTTTGGGTGGACTTGAGCCAACCTGAATCCGCCCTTGATTCAGCACCATCTGCGATGGACAACTCACGAAAAATTCTTCTTCTTGGCTTTCTTTTAGAAGTACACAATCGCTCAACAATATGGACTCATAAGAAATTTGACCTCGCAATATTTAATTATTTAATAATCAACTAATTTATTATCAAACTAGAAAGTTGAGGGTTTGAGAGCCTCTGCCTCGTCGATTGGAACCACCGGATGCAGAGGTTGACTGAGACAACATTAGTCTAGGGTTCATGTCTTCCTTAGCCTATAATTGTCTTAGAGCAGCTGGTACATTGGGTTGGGCCATGTGCTTTGCCTTGTTAAATTGGATTCACCAATCTGGATTGTAATTGGGCTAAATGTGTGGCCTTTGTTTTGTCTGGGCTTTGGCCTTGTGTATTTTGTCTTTTATAACACACCTTCCGAAAAAAAAAAAAAACACGAAGGTAGAGGGTGTGAGAATTTTTTTTCAAAATAAGAATCATCTTAAGCCTCGTGCATTGTGTATTAGCTCACGTGAGATGTTTAGTGATTGAGACAAGCAATCAATCTACCCACCAGTCTAAACTCCAAAGGGCCCCTTTCAAAGTTGTTACTGTAATAAAAAAACATTTTTGTTAGTAGAACTGCTAAACTTCGCTTTAAACAAAAGGTTGGTTACAATCAACAAATGGTACAATAATAGACGCAGGTATAATTTACCTTTAAAAATAAAAAACTGATCGATCAGGGTTATACCATGGGCAATTCGGACAAGCCGCTTATGTGTGTATAAAACTGTATATTAAATTACTATATATAGACATTTGTATCTCAGTTTTGTTCACTGATTATCCACTTCGAAAATATCCTAAATATCCTACTAGCTTTACCGACACACCAGGTTCTCTCTCCGATAGCATAAGGTATGATCTCTCGCTCGCGCCGTCTATTTCTCACTTTCATAAGCATTTTCTCGCATCGAACAATCGTACGTTTCTTAATTAGGGTTTTCGGTTCATCCACGTCTGAAGCAATTCACCAAGCTGGTAAATCTCTTACTGAAGCAATTGTTTCATTATGATCTGAAACTGAAATATAAATAGTTTCGATTCAGATTTGAGATATTATACACTACTGGTCTGTTGGATTTCAAAATTCATGAACTAGGCTTTACAGCTGATGTTGTACTTCGAGGGTTGGATCATTGATTTTGTAGCTGGTTATCATAGTTCATAGATAGGCAGGGATCTTACTCAGTGGGGGCATTCGCAACCACTGAATTTTTTTATTGTTGTATTTTATATTCCAAAATTTATACTTTTTTTACATTTATACCCATAGAATTTTAAAATTGCTTCCACTGAAATTATGAAAAAACCCCTCTATATAATTTTGTCTCCCCTCATATGAATTCCTAGATCTGTCCCTCTTCATAGATCATTAATTGTTTTAGCTGTGATAGATGTTCATTTAGAAATTTGGAAGAGTAGGGTTTTCAAGGGGTGCTCTCGCGGTGAGCTACCCATTGATCATCATCTTGCCTTTATTCTATATGGATGGAGTCGATCAAATGAATTCTCCTTTTTATATATTTTTTTCTATTATGCACCATGTCTTCTCTTAAATTTTAGTTTCGTAAGTTATTTTTTATTACTTCAGTGAGCTACCCATTGATAGTTTTTTCAATTCCAAAATCTGCTATTGCCACTTGTTTCAACCAAGGATGTATGGGTAATGGTTTGATGTGTGTTAACACAAAATAGAATGCCATATTTCTGTTGAGAATTGTGGTTACCAAGGCACTCCTTACATGCCAACCACTCATACCCAAGTCCGTGTAACATGGAATATTTGATTAGCACTTGTTTAGGTAGTACTACAAATTGCCCACTACGAGACTCAAACCCTCACCTCTCCTTTGAGGGAGGAGAGAGCATAGCATTGGGCGAATGGTCCATTGGTTTGTGTAAGAAAATTGATCAATTCAGGGCAAAAAGAAAAGGAGAAAGATTAAAAAAGAAAAATATTGGCCTTTTCCCCTCTTGCTACTTATTCTATTGAAATGTTTTCTTTTTCCTTAAAATCATTCGTTTAAAAGTTATAAATGTAAGTACACACATTGCTAAAACAATAATTGTACTTCTAATACTAGTCTTTACACTTTCATGCAGCTCTTTCCATTAGGTGACCTACATAAGCTGTTGTTGAATTTCGCTTCTGCTAATGCAGTTGAGTTTATGAGGGTGAGGAATTGTTACCGTGAATAATTGGCCTAATAAGCACTCAAAGGAATGATTCTTTCTGCTCTTTTAACATCTGTTGGAATCAATCTCGGCCTCTGCCTTTTGTTTTGCACTCTATATTCTATATTGAGGAAGCAGCCAGGTAACATCAGTGTTTATGCACCACGCTTGATTGCTGAGAGAAATGCTCAAGAGAGAACTGATTTCAACTTGGAAAGGTTATTACCTTCTCCCGGCTGGGTGAGAGAGGCTTGGCGGCCCTCAGAAGCAGAACTATTGTCAATCTCAGGATTGGATGCTGTAGTATTCATGCGTATTTTCACATTTGGGTAACTTAGACCTTTTCCTGTGAAACTGACGTTTAAATTTATGATGTGACATGCTATTGTAAGCATACAAAAGTGTTCTTTTTACTAAATTTGTTCTCATAAAATGACAATAAGTTGCAGAATCATCTAAAATTAAGAAGATATCAAACTAAATCAACGAAAAAATTAAAGAAAATGGACTGCTATAACTTTGTATGAAGGAAGGAAAAGAAGAAAGAAATAGAATTATCGTGAACTGAAGAAGTAAATGCATCCATCCTGCAAAACAAAGTGTGTCGAGCAGAATTGCCCTAAATTCTTCTTCTTTGTGTTCTCATTCATTATTATATGAGCTTTTGTTCAATTGAATGATTGGAAACATCTTGCATAAGCTCAGGATTATGTTACATGGACTTAGGTACATCTGTGAAGCATACCTCCTTGAATCCTTACTCCCAAGATACGGAAAAATGTGTAAAGTATGGTACTGTAGTTTGACACGTCCTATCTTTTTTTTACATACTCTGCCAATACTATTGTATGGTGTATGATGTTATTATTCTTTAAGGATATATTCAGTTAGAACTTAAATTAAATGGAATGTGGGGAAAGGGGGGGATTCCTATCTATCTCATAAGCAGAAAACTCTTCATTGGTATCAAATTTGAGCTTTTTTTGTCACATGTGGCGGATTGGTGTGACCTAATTTAATCATTGTATCAAGCACATAATAACCCATAACCGTATCCACGTTATTTTGCTTTGACATGGGTACGTACCATGTAACAAAGCTTGGGAACTGATACTTCTTGCATCTCGTTCACAATTTGGCCAGTATGCCTTGTGCACAAGTCAACTGAATCTAAAATTTTTTTGAGATTATCCTCTGTCTGTGTATTGAAGATAGGAATTTGGGTGGGAGGTTTGTGGGGTAAGAGGGCTGGCGTGGTGGCAAATATGTAGGTGATGGATAGTTGGATAGTTATAGAAAAATTAAAAAAAGAAAAAAAATTTGTTTGTGTATTGAAGATTGAAATTTGGGGTGGGAGGTGGAGAAAGGGCCGGCACGGTGGCAAATTGTATAGTTGGATTGTTATAAAAAAAAAAACTAAAAGAAGAAACAAAATTTTTGAATGATGGATACTGGTAGTAACTGTGTTTGTATTAACATTTGTGCTTTTCGTCCAATTGTTTTAGGTACAGTTAAGAAATCTAAATTTGGTCTTCATGCACGAATGTAAGGTAAACTGGTTAAGGATGCAATACAATTATTTGTAATGGTATTGAACTCGTGTTTAAAGTATCAACTATATGTTTCTTTATTGGATCTTTCTTGATTTGCACATGTTAATGAACTAGAGAGTTCAATTTTGTTGCAGATCGTGCTATGACACTTTCTTATTTCCCTGTTTCAAAATTTATTAGTATTTTAACTAGGTCTGCATCATGCTATTGCTCATCTTTTTTTTTTTTTTTTTTTTTTGGTGATCCTTTTTTTGTATATATCATTAACTAATTTTTTCTTTTCTTTTTTGCAGTTTCAAAGTATTTAGTTTTGCTGGAATTATTGGGGTTTTCATTCTTCTTCCTATTAATTATTTGGGGAATCAGCTAAGTGCTGATTTTTCTGATTTGGCAAACAAGTCTTTGGACTCATTCACTATTTCAAATGTCGACAATGGATCAAACTGGTAATTACTATAATTAATATGTACTGGTGCAACTTCATGCTAATGAGATCGAATGATGGCTAAGGATTAACATGGATATATATATATATTTAAAAAGGAAGTTATGGCAGTTATTTTCCCCCCATTTTTATTAATAGCACTGTTCTCTATGAATTTATGTTTCTAGTGGTCTGATAAAGATCTTACATGGTTGTCAACTATCTAATGCTACCCCATCCCCTCCCCCTCTTCTCTTTCTCGAAGCTTGGGACAGGATGATAACTGGGCATGATACAAGTGAAGTTACTTTTGCTACCCCATGGGGTAACTGAGTTAGCATAATGCTTTTGGACATGCAGAGGTCTTGTGTTCAATTCCTTGGATGTCAAGTCTTTGTCCTGAGCATACCCAATACCTAAGAAGCACGGAAATGGATATAGGACGTGGATACGACACAACATGGATATAGTGACACGGCAAATAAGAAATATATTTTCTATATATATGATGTTGTACTTCAAGAAATTAAGAGTAATATCATTTTTTAGAATCTCATAATGAAAAAAAAAGGTGTTTTGCTGGAAAAAAGAAAGAATAATAGAAAGAGGGTTAAGAAAGAGGGGGGGAAAAAAAACAATGAGACAAAGAGGATTAGTGTTTTGTTAGAAAAAGAATTAGGCCTTAGTTAAAAATATAGGTAAGAATCCATAGAAGAGAAAAAATTTCATGGGGAATAGAGGAAAAAGGAAAAAGAGACAAAAAGAAATTTATTGTGTGAGGAAAAAAAGAAGTATTTAGGGTTTGTGAAAATCAAGAAGAAGAAAGAAAAGAGGAGCACGAAGAATAAGATAGAAAGAGGAGAAAGGGGGGAGAGAGATAGACTGATAGGGAGACCATTCCCCGGTAGTGAAGCTTGGTTGGTGGGACTACAAGAGTGTCAAAATGATCGTGCAAGGGTTCGAACCTTTGAACTAAAATATAAGAATAAATATCTAAATGTTTTATGAAACAAGTTTTTAAGTAATTATGTAATTAAATAACTCCTAAAATTTACACTTCAACTCAACATTGTTTTTAAAACTTTCTTAAAAATTCTTATAAAAAAAAAAAAAAAAAAAAAATCTTAAAAATCCCCAAAGAGTGGGACGCATGTGTCGGGCACGTATCCATGGCGTGTCAGAAGCATGTCCACAACGTGGCTGGATATTCGATAAAATATAAAATATTCGGACATGTATTTTGGCGTGTCGGGGCATGTCCTTTTAGGTGTGTCCATGCTTCCTAGCCCAATACTGTTGCTTGGATTGCAGGTATCAGAAAGATTGGTGCTACCCCCAAAAGGGTTTGAAACACCCTTTGTTGCCAAAAGAGAGAGAAAAAAAGAAGTTATGTTCGATTATGAAGGGACGAAGTACTATATAATCCCAAAATAGATGTAGAGGGGTTAATAAGTCTCGGAAACCTCTTAAACCAACTTATTGAGAATTTAAAATTCTTTAATGTGTAAGCAGAAACATATAAATTGCACTAATTCAGAATTTTATAAATTTTTGTCTTTAATTTACTAGAAATTTTAATCTTTAATTTGAAATAGTCCCCCTTAAGCAGTTATATAGAAACATATAAATTGCAATATCATGTGTTTACCAAAATACAGTTTGTACTTTTTGGGGGTAAGTCTGTTATATACTTAATGACTCAGTTTCTGTATCCAACTTGAAAATAATTTTGTTGTTATTTGCTATATCATTTTGCTCAGATAAGTATTCACTATCTCCAACTGGAAAATCATTTTGTTGTTCCGTGCTGGATAGTGCTCATATTTCTCTCAACTTTACTGGATTTTATTTTTGAAAACCTAATTTGGTCTTCATGATGCTTTTTAACGTTTTTTCTACTGTTCTTAGGTGATTTTTCTAGTTCTAATTTTGTAGAATGGGAATTTTCTGTTTCAATTGCATATTTTATTTGTGTAAATATCTTATTAGAGTTTCTAATGGAGTCGTATGCAGTCTCCGCGCCTTTTTTTTTTTATTTAATTTGATTCACATTCTATTAGGAGTTTAGCTAAATTTGGTGAAGAGACCCTGACTATAAGTTTTGGCCTCTTTGAAGGTTATGGATTCACTTCTCTGCTGCGTATGTTTTCACAGCAATTGTCTGCTATCTTCTTTATTTTGTAAGTGATACGTTGTGTGTGATTAATTTCCGAAAAAAAAAGAAAAAAAAAGAAAAGATATGTTGTGTGTGATTACACTTTGTTGGTTCATTTGGAGGGGGAGAAAGTATCCATGGAATTTCAACTGGGTGCTGAATGCTATATGATCTGCAGGAGTACAACTATATTTCGTCAAAAAGGATTGCTTATTTCTACTCATCTAAACCTCAGCCACATCAGTTCACTATTTTAGTTCGAAGTATCCCTGCCTCATCTAGCAGCAGTTTCAGTGAAAGTGTCGAGAGCTTCTTCATGGAGAATTATCCTTCTACATACCTCTCAAATTCTGTGGTTCGTCGAACAAGCAAAATTCAAGGGCTCATTGTAAGAATTTTGAGTAATTCTTCATGGATTTATTCCCTTTTCTTATGAGATGCTATAGATTCATTCCTTTTTTTTTTGTTCTTATTTTTTTTATCTTTCCAAAATTGTCCATATAATTATATTCTTTTGAACCTTTAAGTCTTCAGTTCTTCATGAGTAATATTTATGTGACCTGATATTTTTAATTCTAATACTTGGCAATCTAAATGATGTTCAACTAATTTTTTTTTATCCGGTATAGTCCCCGTTAATCAATGCTATTGGGAGTCGTGGACTGGGTCACACCTTAACCTTTGACATTATTTGCACAAAGCGACAATGTAGATGATGTTCAAGTGACTCGAAAAAATGATGTCCGATTTGTGTAATATTGTTGTCTCACATAATTCATTGAGAAGTGGGAACTAATTTTTCATACACCTAACACAATTGACCGATTTTTATTTCTAATATTGTTGTCTCACATATTGTCGCATTTGATAAAAGTTTTTAAAGCTGTTTATTTATCATCTTCTTTTCTTCTTCTTCTTCTTTTATTTTTTTTTATTTTTATTTTTTAACTTATTTTATTTTAGGTATTTTTTTTTTTTTTTTGATAAGTAAAATTTATTGAAAATGCTCAAAAAAAGGGGAGCGGAACCCATGATAACAAAAAGGCCACAAAGCGCCTTAAATCTTCAACGAGGCCAAAAATACAATAATCTCCTCAATGGATTTATAATCTCTCCCTGACACCCAACAAAAAAGAGTGAAAATTGTTGGAAAGTAGAAGATTTATTCCCTCCATAGGTGGATTCGTAAGGAATGTATTTTATGTGTATCATTGACTTTCCTAGAATCATGGGATAATAAGTTAGAGAATCCCACTAATATAGACTTTCCTAGAATCATGGGATAATAAGTTAGAGAATCCCACTAATATAGAAATTCATTCTAATTCATTTTTTTGGAAGGTTAGTTTCCTATTTTATCTTCCTGTGATTAGCTTTGTACAGGCTGTAATTTGTGTAAATAAGCCGTGTATTGGCTTTCTCAATTACAATACAATTTTAATCTTTTCTCCTAAATTTGTCATGGTATCAGAGCACTAGGCTCTTTTCTGGGAATCACAGTCTCTTCAGCCTTAATTGCCAAAGAGAGATTATTTTTTCCTTATCTTTTTCAGGAAATGCCCTGGCCTTCATTGCCATTTTTTTTCTCTGAGTTTATTCCTTTCTTAAACCCAATCCAATATGTCTGAGACCAAATCATCTTCTGAGGAAGTCATCTTGCATCAAGCATCCGGTGATTTGCAGAACATTCAGGTGGCATACAAACTGAATGGGAAGAATTTTTTGAAGTGGTCCCAATTTGTTCAAACCTATTTGAAGGGAAAAGGGAAGCTCAGCCATCTCCTAGGGACAGGTCCAAAGAAAGGAGATCCAAAGTTCGATGCGTGGGATGAAGCAGATTCCATGATCATGTCATGGTTGTGGAATTCAATGAATCCAGAAATCAGCGACACCTGCATGTTCTTGTCCACTGCCAAAGAGGTTTGGGATGCTGTTTGACAGACTTATTCGAAGGCTCGTGATGCAGCGCAAGTGTACAAGATTAAAATCAAGACTGGTGCGATGAAACAAGGTGGAAAGTCAGTCACGGAGTATGCGAATTCACTGCAGAATCTGTGGTAGGAACTTGATCATTACCGATGCATTAAGTCTAAATGTCCAGAAGATGCTGCAATCTTGAAGGGCTTTATCGAAAAAGATCGAGTCTACGAATTTCTCGCAAGACTCAATGCTGAGTTTGATCAAGTCAGGGTTCAGATTCTTGGCAAGGAGGAGGTACCATCTTTAAATGAGACCATCTCTCTGATCCGGGCAGAGGAGAGTCGTAGGGGGGTTATGCTTGAACCCCAAGCCCTAGAAGGATCAGCTATGGTGACGAAGACAGAACGGCCATCAATTCAAGAAAGTGGTAAGGCAGATTTGTCACGGTTTCAAGGAAAGGGCAGCAAGGATACTCTTTGGTGTACCTATTGCAAGAAACCAAGACACACTAGAGAGAAATGTTGGAAGTTGAATGGTAAACCACCAAGCAGAGAGTGGGAATACTGAGGAGGACAACAGAGAAGCCAAGCCAACTTCATCACAAATCAGTCGAGCCACGAAAAGTCTCAAGAACAGAGCGGGTTCAATGATGAGGAGATCGAGAAGATAAGGGGGCTTCTGGGATCATTGGAGAAACCAAGTGGTGCATGTTCTCTCGCACTTTCAGGTAAGTTTTCTGTTTCTCACGGATTACATGTCTCAGATGAACCTATTCGGAATCTATGGGTTATTGACTCAGGAGCTACAGATCACATGACTCACTATTCACTAAATTTTAACACTTATAACCCCTGTCCAAGCAATCAAAAAATAGCTGTTGCAGATGGTTCTCTCACTACCGTAGCAGGTCTAGGGGATATCCATATCAGTCCATCTCTCACACTAAAAAATGTCCTTCATGTCCCTAAATTGTCCACCAACCTGATATCCATACAAAAACTCACTCATGACATGAACTGTAATGTTTTGTTTTATCCTTCTTACTGTACATTTCAAGACCAGGATTCGGGGAGGAAGATTGGACTTGCTAAGGAGAAGAACGGGCTCTACTATCTTGAAGAAACAGGAAAATCTTATATTGTCGGGAATAAATTATCTCTGTCGTTTCTTTCATCATCCAATAAAGACACTATTTGGCTTCATCATTTTAGACTAGGACATCCATCTTTTGGAATTTTGAAAATTTTCATTGCGATGTGTGCGAATTTGCAAAACACAAGCGTGTACCCTTTCCGGTTAGTGATAAAAGAAGTTCAATTCCATTTTATTTAATTCACAGTGATATATGGGGGCCTTCCACAGTTAAAAATTTGTCTGGCTCACGATGGTTTGTTTCCTTTATCGATGATTGCACTAGATTCTCCTGGTTCTTTCTTCTTAAATCTAAATCGGATGTAAGTATTGTGCTTCCAAATTTCCATAACATGATTCAAAACCAGTTTGGGGTTAAAATAAAGAGATTTAGATCGGATAATGCAAGGGATTATTTCAATAAAACCTTATCTCCATACTTTCAAAAAGAGGGAATTATCCATGAATCCTCGTGTTAACAGTCTACAACAAAACGGAGTGGCAGAGAGGAAGAATGGTCATTTATTAGCTACAACCCGAGCCTTTCTCTTCCATCAAAATGTCCCAAAAACTTTCTGGGGGGAAGCTGTGCTTACAGCTGCATATATAATTAACAGATTACCTTCTAGGGTGCTGGGGTTTCAAACACTAATGGAGACACTTGCCCGTTTTTATCCAGATCTAAGAACAACAAACAACCTCATTCCAAGAATCTTTGGATGTACTACTTTTGTTCATGTCTATAGCCATAATAGAGGGAAGCTAGATCCAAGAGCCACCAAGTGTATTTTTGTGGGTTATTCGTCTACTCAAAAGGGTTGCAAGTGTTACCATCCACCTACTAGGAAGTTCTTAGTCTCTATTGATGTCACTTTTGAAGAAAAAATACCATATTTCACTCAGCCTTATCTTCAGGGAGAGTCTTTGGCATTCATTGAAGATAAGGACAGAGACTTTCCACCTGTTCCATTGGACTCCAACCCAGTTTTTGTGCCAATTCAACCTATACCTCCTGAACCATCATCACAGATACCTCCTGAACCATCATCACAGCCCGTTTCTGTGTCAAATACTACTCCTATTCAAAGTCCAATGACAGGGAATAATGAACTTTGTGACTCTATGAGGTTTTCGCTGGTGTATTCAAGACAACGAGACCGGGGTCCTAATCCTGTGCAAGTCCAAGATTCAACGCCTAATCCTGAGAATGAGGTAAATACAGCTCCAGAAACTCCACATGATCATGATATTCCCATTGCCATTAGGAAAGGCACAAGAGATGCACTAAACACCCATTGTACCCTTTAGCGAAGTTTGTGTCATTTAAAAAATTCTCACAAGCACATAGGAGCTTCCTAGTTAGCCTAAGCACTATTCATATTCCTGATACATTATCTGAGGCATTATCTGATGAGAAATGGAAAGATGCTATGAGAGAAGAGATGCAAGCACTAGAGAAGAATCAAACGTGGGAAATTGTCAACCTACCACCAGGAAAGAAGACTGTAAGATGCAAGTGGGTGTTTATAGTGAAGTACAGGTCAGATGGATCTTTGGAGAGATACAAAGCCAGGCTCGTGGCAAAGGGATACACGCAAACCTATGGTGTTGAATATCAAGAGACATTTGCTTCGGTGGCTAAAATGAGTATGGTAAGAGTCTTGTTATCACTAGCAACCAACTTCAATTGGTACTTGGAACAATTTGATGTAAAAAATGCTTTTCTTCACGGTAATTTGGAGGAGGAAATATACATGGATATCCCTTCAGGCTTTAAGGGAAATCTGAGTAGCAACAGGTTTGCAAACTGAAGAAAGCGTTGTATGGCCTGAAGCAATCACCAAGGGCCTGGTTTGGAAGATTTGCCAAAGTAATGCTTGCCACTGGATATAAACAGAGTCAAGGGGATCATACTCTCTTTGTTACACACTCAGATGCAGGGGGAGTCACTGCTCTTTTGGTATATGTCGATGACATAATTGTGACAGGAAATGATGAGAAGGAGAAGGAAGCCTTGAGAAAATGCCTAATCAGAGAATTTGAGATAAAAGAACTAGGAAGATTGAAGTACTTCCTAGGAATTGAAGTAGCCCATTCCAGAGAAGGCATTTTCATTTCACAACAGAAATATGTAACTGATCTTCTAAGGGAGACAGGGAAGCTAGCATGTAAACCAAGCTGCACACCGATCAATCCAAATCACAAACTCGGGGAAGCAAGTGAAGATCCAGCCGTTGACAAGGAAAGGTACCAAAGATTAGTAGGGAAGCTTATATACCTTGCTCACACAAGGCCAAACATTGCATATACCGTGAGCGTGGTTAGCCAATTTATGCACAACCCAAGAGAAGTTCACCTACAGGCAGTCTACAGAGTACTACATTATCTAAAAACTAGTCCTGGCTAGGGAATTTTATTTAAAAGGGACACTGGATTAGTCTTAAAGGCATACACTGATGCAGATTATGCAGGCTCACTCATTGATAGACGTTCCACCACGGGTTATTGTACTTTCCTTGGAGGCAACCTTGTAACATGGAGAAGTAAGAAGCAGAATGTGGTAGCTAGATCGAGTGCGGAGGCAGAGTTTAGAGCAATGGCTCAAGGAGTATGCGAGTTATTATGGCTCAAGATAATTCTGGAAGATTTAAGAATCAAGTGGGAAGGACCAATGAGGTTATTTTGCGACAACAAGTCTGCCATTAGCATTGCTCCCAATCCTGTTCAACATGAAAGAACAAAGCACGTGGAAGTAGATAGACATTTCATAAAGGAGAAGTTGGATAGTGGCTTAATTTGTACTCCATACGTCTCAACCAATGGTCAACTTGCTGATGTGCTTACAAAAGGACTAGGAAGTGCAGCGTTTCAAGAATCTATTTCCAAGCTGGGAATGAAAAATGCATATTCTCTAGCTTGAGGGGGAGTGTTGGAAAGTAGAAGATTTATTCCCTCCATAGGTGGATTAGTAAGGAATGTATTTTATGTGTATCATTGACTTTCCTAGAATCATGGGATAATAAGTTAGAGAATCCCACTAATATAGACTTTCCTAGAATCATGGGATAATAAGTTAGAGAATCCCACTAATATAGAAATTCATTCTAATTCATTTTTTAGGAAGGTTAGTTTCCTATTTTATCTTCCTGTGATTAGCTTTGTACAGGCTGTAATTTGTGTATATAAGCCGTGTATTGGCTTTCTCAATTACAATACAATTTTAATCTTTTCTCCTAATTTTGTCAGAAATAATAGAGAACTTAAGAGTAGAAATAGATTTCTTCTTTCCATCAAAATATCTCCTATTTCGCTCGAGCCAAATGCACCACCAAATACAAAGAGGCGTAGCCCTCCAAGCCTCCTGAATAAGAGCCCCAACAGGGACACCTCTCCAAGTCTCAATCAACCCTCTAGAAGACCTAGGCATAACCCAATGGATTCCAAATAATCCAAGCATCAAATCCCAACAATCTCTGGCCATACTGCAGTGCAAAAGGAGGTGGGCAACTGTCTCCTCATCACACAAGCACATCATTTGATTAGTTTTCAGCGTTCAACTGGACTGCACATCAACATTCCTCTCTCTCTCTCCATAATAGTAATGATGTCGGAACATGAAAGCTGGATGTTATGTTAACAGTGTTTTGAATGAATCTTCATGGAATTATTTCTACATTGATCATGTAATAATAATTTTTGGAACTAATATTCTTTTTCTTTTATGATGAACTCATACTTTTGCGCCTGTATTTTCTTGACATGTTTGTGTTTTAGTGGTAGTTGTAGCAATCAGATCATGTTCAATTAGCTCGACAATAAAATGTCTGTAACTTGTATTCTTGCCATCCCACGAATTGTTCCTTGAGATGGGTTGTTGTTATTGTTGATGATGATGGTGTTGTTTTATATGTGGAGATGATGCATCTGCATTGAATAATACGCAAGCCTCTCTGAGGAATAATATATTTTTTGTCTGCAATCCTTTGCATTCAATATACAATTCAAAATTTGAAAAAAAAAAAAAAAGTAGAAACATTTAAAATTTTGGTTGTAGTCTAAATGCTAAAATACTATCAACATTCTTCTCTCTCTCTCTCTCTCACACACACACACACACATTCACACACACACACATTTAAAGTATCTATCATTTGATTAGTGTGTTTATATTCCTTCTAGAGTGACGCAGATAAAATGTATAGAAAGCTTGCCCACTTGAAATCAACAACCCACACTCAACAAAGGTTCAGGCGTGATGGCTTTTTGGGACTTTTTGGACGCAAAGTTAATATTCTAGATCAGTATGAAAAGAAGCTAGAAGATCTGGAAGATAATATGAGAATGGAGCAAACTTCTATAGTGGGAAAGGTGAGCTCCTTTAGTGTGTCTATGATTATTGATATTTTATCCGCGCTATAATTTGAAAAAGCTAAATCTCATTAACAAGGGAACTGCTATTTAACCTTTTTAAATATTTTGGTTAGAAGACGAGAGGTAGACAAGAAAGAAACATGTGTAAGAATATCTCAAACACTTTGTTTTTTTATTTTTAAATTTTGTAGAATAATTTTTGCTTTCCAGTTCCTTGTACTTGTTAAGATGGGTGCATACTATTTTCCCTTTTCTTGGAGTTAAGGTGCCTGAAGAATGATTACCCATTGATCTGGTAACTTGTACTTTGGCACAATATAATTGGCTTCCTTGGATCAAGTTGTACTTTCTCATGGACTCATCCTTGCACCATGAGATAAGGCCACAAAATACAAATGTACAGCACACGCCCTTGAATGAAGACACGCTTACCTTTTGAGGCTTAAAATCTATGCATGTTGTAAAAGGGGTGAAATTAAGAGTGCCTTTATACACATGAGTACATGAGACATACATGTTCTAGGAAGCAATTGATACGAGTCTTTATGATTTGTAAGTTATCATTCTGAATCACTTGATGGATGTTGCTGGGATTTTAATCAGTGGCGGAGCCAGGAACTTACTTTAGTGTGGGGGGACAATAATAAGACAATTTTTTTTTTCCCAACTAAAACAATAAATAATGAAATTTAAATATTGATTTCTAATATATATTTATATATATTGGTGGTAATTTTTCAACTAACTGAGGAAGTGAAAGAAAGCTTGATCATAAGGAGAGGAAGAATTTGCAAATTTTGATTTATAATATTTTCATCCAGTATATTTATAATTTTCCACAATGAATTTTTTCTCTTGAAAGGGTTGCATGATATCAATGTCATTAAATATTTTCTCACAAAATTTATTAATGTTAGCAAAATCCTGCTCCCTTTTTCTTTTTTTCCAACATTAAAAATCTTATTTTGCAGAAAAAATAATATTGCCTAAGAGTAAGGATTAAAGTTTCTTGCATATTGGCTTAGGATTGAGATTTCTACTGATAAAAGATCTTTATAATTATTCCACTTCGTGTTTTTGCTTTGGAGAGAGATTGAGAGAGTCCAAGAGAGAAATTGACAGCCGAAATAGGGGAGATAAACTTGGCGTGGGTCATGAGAATGAAAGGCATAGAAAACTTGGGAAAGAAAAGAGAAATTTTGACTGAAGAAGAGTTGGTGACCCTCAAAGAGTAAACATTATAAAACAATTTTGGGTGGGAGCAAATTCACATTTGTAATACAATATACATATAAAATTAGAATAACAAAAAGTTTAGTGGGGGCAACTGCCCAACTCAACTCTATGTGGCTCGACCACTAATCTTAATTGTCTAACCGGCCTTAAATCCACAGGTCCATTCTTCTGCAAATTGTGCGCTTTACATTGATAAGTAGAGTTCTCACTTATAAATCAGTATTCATATTGAAGCAGTCTGTGTTACAGACGGCTGAATATGTGTGGTCTCTGTGAAACTTTCGCATGCACACATTGTCCTCTTCATGATAGCTGTATCTCAGGTTATTTATAGTCAAAATAGATTAAAATTTAATGAATCTCAGGTTATCTGTAGTCAAATTATTCATTAAAATTTAATTTAAAATTGTATATGATGCACCCTATCTTTCTCCTATTGCCTTTCCAATTTTAACAGGAAGTTCCAGCTGCTTTTGTGTCATTCAAATCACGGTTTGTTGCTGCAATAGCATTACACATCCAACAAGGTGTCAATCCTATAGAGTGGGTCACTGAGCCAGCCCCTGAGCCTCGGGATGTTTACTGGCCCTTCTTTTCTGCGTCGTTCATAAAAAGATGGATTTGGAAGCTTGTGGTTTTTGTCGCGTATATTCTTATTACAGTTCTATTTCTTATTCCGGTTGTCTTAGTGCAAGGTCTTACTAATCTGGAACAGTTGGAGACCTGGTTCCCTTTTCTGGAAAGCATACTGGAGCTGTAAGTAGTTCAGTCTTTGAACTTTTTTTTCTTTTTCTTTTTTTTTTTTTTTCCTTCTTCTAATTTTTTAAAAGTATCAAACATATATTAATGGTTGATTTAGGTCTTTTAACATCTGCTCATTCACACATATATATTTACCTCTCAACTGGCACCAACAGCCTAAATGATTGATACATGTATATAGAAATGTGGAGGCTTGTATTGGAAGTTCATACAATATAGTGTATAAGTATTCCCATAATCTTGTATTCTTGCTTCCTGCAATTGGGAACTCTCTCTCTCTGTCTGCGTCTGTGTCTCTGTCTCTCTCTTTGTTTGTTTGTGGAATTAGAGAGGCAAGAAATTTCTTCTAAGAAAAGTGGGTGTATAATATAGAAACTAGCAACCCACATGGATGAACACCTGATCATATTTAAGAAAATTTTGGATATCTTTTCCTCCGTATCATGAGGACTAAAGTTCAGTGGACAGGAATGCAATATGATACAGAATCTCAATCTAGTAGCTTCTCCCATTCCTTAATCACTGCCTACTACCTGCTATTGCACATTTGAATTATAAAATAGGGTATGATTGGCAATAAGGTTTAGTTGAATCACATAGAACTTCAGAATTTTTTAAACAAATAATTCATTTTTTGTGTTACTGTATATATAGTTCATAGTTATTAGGGATTTGTTTTTAGAATCTTTTTCTAAATAATATTCTAATAAAAAAAATATTCTTGACCTATGCTGACTTGTGACAAACAAGTCATATTGTTCTTTCGCCCTAGGTTGCTTGGATTTTCTTTTCTCTTTTCTTGAGGATTTGAGGTCTGCAAAGAACTGTTGTAGAGAGTTTGGTGGTGTCCCAGGATAGGTGTGGTATCTTTCTAAAACCTGTGTGTTTGGATCTGGACTTGTCTGTCTGCTTTCTGGTGGGTTGTGATGTCTTCTTCATATTACTGACTAGTTTGGATTACTGCCTTCTGTAGGTATATGTATTGGAAAGCATGAAAGGTTTAGAAAGATATATTTATTTTCTTAAATTTTATTATTATTATTATTTTTGTAAAAAATAAAGAAAGAAGAAGAAGAAGAAGAAAACCTCATTTATTACCATGTCTGCCAAGAACTCTGTCCTGAAATTTGTTGGAATCCAAAAAACAAAAGGTTCCTATTTTTTGTCCTTGAGATCGGATGTAATATACCCCAAGGAATCATATGATAATGTAGTTGCTCTATATTTAGTACCTTTGTTGTGTTCTTTCAGTGAAGTAGAAGTCTTTAATTTTGATAAGGGATTTCAGTAGTCCATGGAGGATTGAAGCATGGTATTAAAAGGCTGGAAGAGTTCTAGTATTTTTTCCTTCTGTGAAGTAACATGCAAGCGTTATTGCATTAGATAGTTGAGGCATAAATATGTAATTACAAGATATTGGAACCAAAAATCTAATAATAAAAATTGGAAAATAACAACTCAGATTGTGGGTTGTGTTTTAGTATCTATGGAAAAAAAATCAATAAATAAATACAAAGAACAAAGAAAAGTACTCATCTTATTGATAGAATTTGCTTAATGGTTTTTAATACATTTGTCCCTTAATTTTGGTGGATCGGGTGTCTTTGATTATTTATCCACCTCTCTTTGTTTTACTAATTTTTGAATTGATTTGGGTTAGGAATTTTATAGTCCAATGCTAACAGGAAGCCTGTATTTGCAATCAATGCATCATGTAATGTGTACAGTTGGTGTATAAGGTGCATATTTTAAACACCAATTCAGTCTTAAGGTGGGACGAACATCATCGTCCTTACCTTTTATTCAATATGGATGGGGTCGGCCACATGTATTCTCCTTTTTATATTCTTTCCTATTATATACCACGTTTTCTCTTAGATTTAATTTTTTTAGATTATTTTTTATTACTTCCTCCCATGTAAATTTTGGTTGGCCTCTTTGTCGCTTACCTTCTAGGCAAGCAACTCTTCCTCTTCTAACCAGTGCATCATTGGATCTACCTTATATTTTTTTTGGTTGGGTAAGTACTCACGCGCGTTTCACAAATTGCCCACTATGAAACTCCAACCCCTCACCTCCACTTTGAGGGAGGAGGGGTTACACCATTGGGCTAATGGCAAAAAATTATAGTCTGAACCTTGCACAATAGGGTGAACTGTAGGCTTGCACAATGTATCTTTTTTTCAGTAAGGTTTGCACAATACATCTTTTTTTTTTTTCTTTTCCCCGTTCATTTTGCACAATGCATCTTGTTATTTTGAACGTAATAGGTTTAATTTAGTCTTCTTGTGTCTCAAAGTAAAGAAAATAAGTAATCTTTAATTTTTTTTTTTTTTTTTTGATAAGTAAATAATGTATTAAAGAACGTTCAAAGGTCCACAAAAGAGCCTCTGAACTCTCAAAGAACCCAAAAGATCAACAAACTCCTCTATGGATTTAAAATTTCTCCCTAGAACCCAACAAAAAAGGGTGCTAATAATGGAGAATTTCAATGACGCAATAAGATTTTCCTTTCCTTTGGAAGATCTCCTATTTCTCTCCAGCCAAATGCACCACCAAGCGCATAAAGAGACCTAACATCAAAGCGACCCTGACAAGAGGGACGCCACACCCAATAGTCAGAAACATCTCCGATGATCTCTTGACAATACAAGAGCTCCAAAAAACCAATAGCATCCTCAATTTCCAATCTTGAAAATGCCTCAAGAAACAAACATCCCATATTGTTCTTTCACTATCAACTATCAAGGTGATAGCAGTCGACCACCATAGCCCTAACGATTTGAAGCAATCTGGAAGAGTCTAGGGAAAGTGAGCGCAAGAGTACTATCACCACACCAAATGTCCTCCCAAAAGAAGATTCCCCTACCATCCCGGACTCGAAACCTATAATATGTTTGGAGAATTCATCCCATCCCAAGCCCCAACTCCACTTGTAAATCTCACCTCAGAAGAGCACCAGCCCCCTCTCATCTCCCCATATTTGCTCACAATCACCCTCCGCCATAGTATGTGCCTCTCAACCCCATATCTCCAAAGCCATTCCCCAACAAGGACTATTGAACAGCACCAATCTTCCCATACCCAATCCTCCCTTCCGGATCGGAGTGCAGACACGCTCCCATCTAACCATGAAACTTGAACTCCCACTTACCTCCCTACACAAAAAAAAGAAGTTATCTTCCATTGCAATTTAAATGCAATAAACTTCATATTTTTGTTTACTTATAAAAAAATAAATTAACTTCCTATTTTTTTTGTTATTTCAAGAATGTGCAAGAGAATTGGTGTTATGGCTCTTCTTACTACTACCTTTTTGCTATCTTCTACCATCATGATTATCATCATTTTCTTGCCTTAGAGAAAGGTGCAAAGAGCGATGTCTATTGATCTAGAACATCATTCTTTTTCTTACTTGAACCGTTAGTAATTCTGAAGGCTTTTTCTTAGACTCAATTAGTTCTATTGAAATTGGATAAAGCTGCTTTTCTATAGAATCCTATTTCTTTCCTCAGCTCGTTGTTAGCCTGGAGAAAGGAAGGTAGTGTTTGGTATGGCTGATTTCCAATGTAAAAACTTTGTCAAATCTCTGTGTACACGAGTTCTTGAAATTTTTATTACAAAAGCTTGATATCCTTTATATGGGATAATATGGCCTTAAATAGACTGGAATTGAAACACAGTATGTATTGTTATCTTGTTAGGTGGTGAAAAGGGTTAGTTGGGTAGAGATGTAGAGTGAGTTGAGCTGTATTGTGGTACATATGTCTGTATGAAACAGAATACTTTTGCACATATGCTTCATGAAATGATGTCTTAAATATGTATAATTTTATTGTTTCATGGAAACTACATCTCATGAAAGACATGGTACTAAAACAAGCTAATTTACAATGTGCAGCACAGTCGTCAGTCAAGTGATTACAGGATATCTTCCTAGTCTCATTCTTCAGCTGTTTCTATCCTTTGTGCCTCCCATCATGATAATGTTTTCATCCTTGCAAGGGTACATTGCACTTAGTCAGATTGCAAAAAGTGCATGTATTAAGGTACTATGTTTTAAGATATGGAACATTTTCTTTGCAAATGTACTATCGGGAACAGCTCTCTACCAATTTAATCTCCTCCTTGAGCCGAAAAAGATTCCCAGCCTATTGGCTGAAGCCGTTCCAGCACAGGTAAAGATGTTGATTTATTAAATCAAACCTTTGTGACATAATTGTGTAGGGTATATTTCATTTTCTACAGGAGCAATCCTGTAAACTTGAGTCATTTTTTTTGGCTTAAAGTTTGTTCACAAGTCTTACCAAAAATAAAAAGTCAAGTCTTCATAATTTGATGATCGTGGCTCTCACTTACATGTGGTGGGGGTGTCTCAACTGGAAGATTTATTTTTAACGTTTTTAATGAAATATTTTTCTTCCTTGTTTCTATACAATTTGTTAGAGAACTGAAATTGAGAATTGAAATAAATTTTTTTTTCCCTGTTCCTTGCTTTTCTTGGTCCCTGGGAATTTAGATTTTCTGTGAGTTGGGAATTCAAACTGATGGTTGTCGGTTCAAAGGTATGCAAAACCAACCATATTATAAAACCATTCAATCCAGCTCTCGTACAAGGGCAAGTTTGGATTTATGTCACATGAATAATTGAATTGCTCCATTTAGTTCAAATTTATATTTGTGAATAGAGCTATCGCCTTAAACCATGTAAGTTGTTGCAAAGAATAGAGGAAATTGGGATAATTGTTTCCTGCCCTTGAAATGATTAGACGTCATTTTCTATAATAATTATACTCCATCATTAGGGAGATGATTCCAATTTTCCATTTAATTTTGTATTTTAATCAACTCTTTCTATATGCTATGTGAAATGCAGTGGATCTATTTGAATACTTGGGGTAGACCAAATGTGCTTTCAACACCTCTCTCTCTATCTCTCTCCCCCCTATTCTTTCTTTTCGTGCTGCAGTCCTACCTTTAGTAACTCGTCATCATCCTTGCCTGTCTCGTATGTGGTCAGCCACGTGAATTTTAGGCTATGTCTTCCATCACATCTAATTTCTTAGCGTCTTTTTTTTTTATTACTCGCCCAAGTTAATTTTGGTTTTCCTCTTTCTCTCTTACCTTCAATGTTAGCACTAATTCATTTGACCACTTCAGATGTCTGATAAAGGGGTAATGAATTTAATTCAGAGAAGGAATATAGTTAATTGTTGGAAGTCACTCATTTATAATTGTGTGAGAGATGGGATTGAGTCGGCCAAGATTTGTCATGTCTTTGAACAAGATTTGAAATTACATTCTTAACAACGTGCTTAAAGGAACTATCTCCATAAGCAACAAATATGTGAATTCTTTTAAATTATTTATTCAAAATTGTCCCCATTGGAGTATATCCCTGGTTCCATCACTGTTGCGAACTATTGTCTCAGGCTCGAAATATTAGTTGGCTTAAAATGCCATGATTTCTCTTTGGGTGCACAACTCTGTAAACACGTGCCTTGGTGATCTGTTGGGACTTTGAGAAAGCTAAGTCAGACTCATTAGAGAGAAACTTGTTGGATATTGGTCTCAGAGGTTTTTACGGCAAAAGTGAGCCATGTAGTGGATATTTAGGGTTGAATAAATAAACCCTGGCCAGGGAAATGAAGGTTGTTTTTAGGCTCTGATTTTTTATGTCTTTTGCGTGTTGTATGATCTCTCACTTCTGTAACTTCTCTTGATATTAGTGGACTATCTATCTTCTTCATAGATCTAGTCAAGATTTTTCTGAACACTTCAATTTTTTTTCTCTTGCTTGTTTGTTCTTTTATATATATATATATATATATATATATATATATACTTGGATCTCATTGTGGTGTCCTTTTTCTTAACTAGGTATCTAATTGGTGATATCTGAGCTTTGTACCCAACAATGCTAATGTGGGCTTTCAATGTAATATTATATTCATTTTTTTTTGTTGATTTTATGGGCAGAAAAGGTTATTCTTAACTAGATAACTATATTTAGTCGGATTAGTTCATGAAAATTATAGTGCAATGCTCCTGGATGAGATTTTATTGGTTGATGATTCGACGGGTGGAAAAGAAACATGAAACAAGAATTATTTGTTTACTAACAGTCGGTTTATAGTACTCAAGATTTATTTTAAAGAAAACCAGAAATTTTGGCTTCAAATATTAATTCTCATTTTCTAAATCATTTTTTAAATTTCAGGATGCTCTAGAGAAATAATACACTTGCTTATTTCTGGTGTAGGCATCGTTCTTCATTGCATATGTTGTGACATCTGGATGGACTAGTACATCTTCAGAACTCTTTCGACTGATTCCCCTCATCTGCAGTTTTTTTAAAAAGGCTAGTGATGAGGTGCCTTCAATTTCTTACCACAGCGAAATTCCCAAGATTCTCTTTTTTGGACTTCTTGGTATAACATACTTTTTACTTTCACCCCTGATTCTGCCATTTCTCTTGGTTTACTACTGTCTGGGATTCATCATCTACCGTAACCAGGTTAGTTGGACACATTTCTTATTATTCATTTTGGATTAGTGGCTCTTTTATTTTGTTGTATATGTAAATGGAAGGATTCATCTACAAAGAATCACTGGGTATGCCTTCTTCTGTGAGATTAGCCACCAAGTGAGACCGTGCTTGTTAGAGAAGAAAACAAATTCTTAGACTATGTTTGTCAGATTACCATGTGAATTTCAATTTATATAGACCATCAGGACTCAGTAGCCTGTCTTTTAAGTTTTGAAGTATTGGTTTTGGAACCCTATGTTGACAAGTTGATATTCCCTTGTCCTTTGAACTCTATAAAGGTTTTGGGGAAGTTATTTTACATTATTTGACATTATAGAACGAGGTTTTATTTTTTAATTATAACAATGTTAAGCAAATTTCTTGTGCAGTTGTTGAATGTTTATGCACCAAAGTTTGAGACGGGTGGGAAGTTTTGGCCCATAGTGCACAATTCAACAATCTTTTCTTTGGTACTGATGCATATCATTGCCATTGGAATATTTGGGCTGAAGAAACTTCCGGTAGCTTCCAGCTTAATAATTCCTCTTCCAGTTCTTACTCTTCTGTTCAATGACTATTGCCGAAAACGGTACTTGCCCATATTTAAGGAATATCCTGCTGAGGTATGTTGATGCACCATGGTAACTGAATTCTGTTTTCATGCTCCTAATTCTTATCATTGGATTTTCTTGGCAAAATTATATTTTATATTGTTCTTTCTTTTTTCTTGCTTTCCTCCTATTAAAAACACCTCCTTATAGCATACCTGGGAAATATTTCAATACCTTTCTATCCTTTTATATATAATTTTCTTTCTCCACTGGTAGCATGATGATTTTCTCTCTCTCTCTCTCTCTGTGTGTGTCTTGTTTAGCAAGTTAGTTAATCGAGAAACATTTGCTATTAAATCTTGCATTTATTAGGTTGTGAATTCCAGTATAGCAAAAGAGATGGAAGAACAAAATAAAAACTAATGAGCATCAGATGGATGTTGAGCACGATCTACTTCCCATTTGTCTTCATATTTATTTGGTTGGTTGGTTCTAAATATTTTGGATGGGAATGTCCCATCTAAAAGCATATTGAGGAAGAGAATTTGCTTTGATTTGGAATGTGAATTCAGCAAGATTCATGTGGGAGCTTGAGTAGTTTTTAAGTTTGGTTTGGTCAGATATATGTTCTGATAAGATATTGTCGTCAAATTTACACTTCAGAACAGTTATGATTGAGTTTGTGTAATATATGTTCTCATAACGTAGGCAGTCGCAGAGTATGTGTCCAATCTTGGCCTTGGCTTGGCTATTTTACTGGCCCTTCTTAAGTCTTCAGGTTGGTCTTGACGTAATAAAATTGGTTTAGAATAGTCAATAATAATTAGAGCTTCCACTTCATTTTCTAGTAAGGAACATGAGCTTCAAGTAAAAAAAATTATGAAGAGGCTGTAATCACAGTTTAATGGGACAAAAGAATGTGGAATCCATTGCAGAATAACTTTTCTGAGTGCAATAGTTTCATTCCTTCTGCGATACTTTAGGGACCCTAGCTTGATTTCTGGTTCTTCTTTCTTTGGGCTTCCTCTCATTCGACTGTTTTGCAATCTCCAGCCTTGTTAGTCGCGTTATCTCAGTTCACCGCCCTGCAAATTACATTCATTTCACACTCTGTGAAACCTTACTAGCCTTCCCACTCTGCTTATTTTTTCAAGAACCCTATGCATATTCCAAAACTCTTAACTCTCTAGTTCTCTTGTAGGTGCAGAAACTCATTGGTCTGTCTTCATTTGTCCAATATGATCCCTCATGTAAAAACTGTGCTTTTATCTTTTTAATTTGGACCAAGTGTTATTCAAATGAGCCTCTTTATCAATTCTGGAGATGAAAACCAGTACAATTTTTCATAGAGGAAAGGGGGAAAAAAACAAAGATTATCGGAACTTGACGGGATTCAACAGTGAGGATACCAAAAGTGACCTAAGCTTGATACGATCCGGATTGCTGAGAATGGTCGGGTAAGAGTGGCTGAGATAGAGCAAGTCCTCGCTAAGCGGGCCCAGGTCCAAGAGGTCAGTAGAGAAGCCCGCAGTAGGATGAAAGGGGTTAGGCCCAAACAAAAGGAAAGTAGACAAGGCCAGCCCATCACAAGAAAATCAGTTAGAAAGCTTCAGGAGTGGTTGTAACCGTCTATAAATAGACGAAAAGGAGAGGGAAAAAGGGTTGGAAAATGTTTGAAGTGCATAATTTCTCTTTTTAAATTGGGGAAAATTTTGTGCATCTTCAATGGCGCCGTCTGTGGGAAACGATGAGGATTGATTGATGTTTAATCCAAATCAATTCGATCCAGAGTAATTCATGAAGAAGACGCTTGATCTCTGAAAGCTGAATCAAGATCGATGAAATCGTGGTCTGTCTTGCTGAATCTCGGTTCCAGTTGATTTCGAGAGATTGGCGTCCGATTTACGCAGATCTGATCTGTGTTTGTTCCGGTGAGCTGCGCAGTTGAGACTTGTTGAGATTGCTGAATTTGGCGAGCTCGTGGCTGAAGCAATTCAAATCCGGCTGATAACGGTCGGAATTCAACTAGTTTGAGTCCAGATCTAGTGCGTTCGCATTAGTAAAGCTCAGATCTGATTAGAAATCTGACTTTGCTCTGATCAGGAATGATGATCGGAGGAGAGAGCTCAAATCCATTGGAGAATGGCCAACAGTCGAAGCCCGATGAGTTGATGAGCATGATCGAAGCCCTGAGAAGAGAGAATGCAGAATTACGAGCTGGAATGGAGCGTCGTGAGGCTCCTACTATTTCAAGGCCACCTCCGGTAGGAGAGGGAGTCTTGCCGTTAAATGTTGTTCATCAAGGTGATCCAGAAAGTATCAATCGCATGGATCCTCATCGTGAAGAAATTTTGGTAGGCAATTTACCTCCAAATGTCCGTTAGGTAGAGGATCGAGAGGGATCTATTCATTTGGATCCACATCGCGAATGGATTATGCGAGAGGAAGCGCCAACGTTTGATCATAGGGCTGCATCACCGTGGCAAAGTGAGTTTGCGGAGGACAGATCGTTTGATCCACCCTATCGGCCTTCAATGGCAACGTTTGATTACAGGAGTTTAGAGAGGAGATCTACAGACCATAGAGTTCCATCACGGTTCTCAAGGGAGAATGAAGCACTCCGTTCATCAGCAAGAACGATTGTATCTCCATTCACTGACGAAATCCTAAACGCTCCAAATCCAAGGAAGTTTTCCATGCCGATCTTCATTTTGTTTGATGGAACAATCGACCCGATCGATCACATCTACCACATTTAATTGAAAATGGCTTTGAACACGAACAATGATCCTTTGATGTGCAAGTGCTTCCCTACAAGTTTGGCTGGGCCAGCCCTCAATTGGTTTAAGAATCTGGCTCAAGGTTCAATTGCTAGTTTCCAGGACTTGTGCGACAAGTTCATAAGCCAGTACTATGGGAATAAACGCCCGGCCAAGGACGTTTCAAGCCTCTTTACAATGAAGCAGCACGAAGATGAACGACGCCAAGCTTTCCTCACCAGGTTCAACCTTGTCAAGAGCATAGTAATGGAATGTCATCTGTCCACAGTGGTTCAAGCGTTCAAACTTGCAATGAACCGAGGGACACCATTCCACACAAGCCTGGTGGTGAATACGCCGAAGACCATGGACGAGTTGAACGAGAGAGCTGACGGTTTTGTGCGTCTGGAAGAAGAAGAGGCAGCTAATGCAAGGAAGACATCAATTATCTCAACAGAGGAGAAGTCCAAAGCCAAGATCCGGCAAAAACAAGCTCAGCCACAACGTCAGACCTCCTGGAAGGCCGAGAAGAGGCCCAAAGAGGAAGAGTTAGTTACTCCACTCAGAGTTACTCTGGCAAGGCTGTATCAAGAGAAGATAAGTTTTGCCCTCCCTTACCAATCAGACAACCTCTTGAACAGAGGGATCAATCTAAACATTGTGCTTTCCATAGTGACTTTAGTCATCAGACTAATGAATGCAGGAACCTAAGGAGGCAAGTGGAGATGTTGATCGCAAAGGGGGAATTTGCAGGATATGTTCAAGGGCCAGCACAAGAGCAGAACCGACCGGCTGAGCAGGTCAAGAGAACTCAGAAGCCGAGTCACCATAGCACTCAACCCGTTTGGATTATAAATGCAATTCATGGCCGACTTGAACAGACAGCAGAGTCAGAGGAGCTGCTCAGAACGCGACTACGCCAAGCACAGATGAAGAGGAGGATTGGCAGTGTGCATGCTTTGCATCAGCAGAACACATCCGCACAGATAAAGTTTAACAAAACGGACCTGTTGCGCATTCAGACCCCTTATGAAGATCCATTGGTCGTCAATTTGACGGTAGCAGATTGGTTGGTGCGAAGAGTTCTGATTGATCCAGGAAGCAGTGCGAATGTCATGCCCAGAGTAACATTTGACCGGCTTGAGATCAAGCCGGAAAGGCTTAAACCCACAGGAAATCCGTTGCTGGGGTTCGATGGGAAACGGGTGGAGCCCATAGGCATGGTAGAATTGATTGTGCAGGCTGCTGAAAGAGTTCTGACAGTGACATTTGTAGTCGTTGAGATCCATCCCTCCTACAACCTTCTGATGGGAAGAGGGTGGATCCACAGAGTCCAGGGTATTCCATCAACTCTGCATCAAGTGATGAGATGTTTAGGTCCAGATGGGAACAAAGTGATTGACATTCATGGAGATCAGGTCGCGGCCAAGGAGTGCTGCTCTGTAACTCTGAAGTCTGCTGGAAAAGGAAAAGCTCCATCCGTTCTGCTAGCCTAAGATAGCAATTATAGGGTCCTCCACCCAACAACAGTGGGGAGGAGGAGCCTTCGGTCTTGACCAAAGAACCTCTTGTTGACGTGCAGATCGACCATAAGAAGCCAGACCGAACCACAAAAGTGGGAACAAGACTTGTAGAAGGGGAGAAACAAGGGTTGATTGATTTCTTGTCTCAGAATGCAGATGTGTTCTCATGGAGCCATTTAGACATGCCAGGAGTCGGTCCTTCTGTTTCTTGTCATTCTCTCAATGTAGATCCGAACGCAAAGCCTGTAAGGCAGAAGCAGAGAAGGTTCACTCCAAAGCGCAATCAAATTATAGTTGAAGAAATCGATCGATTGCTCGATGCAGGGTTCATTAGAGAGGTCCAATACCTGGTTTGGCTCTCAAATGTCGTCGTTGTACAGAAAAAGAATGGGAAATGGAAAGTATGTATTGACTTCACCAATCTGAACAAAGCTTGCCCGAAGGATAGCTTCCCGTTGCCAAAGATTGACCAGATGGTGGATGCCACTACTGGATACGAACGGTTAACGTTCCTGGACGCGTAATCAGGCTACAATCAAATCCCTATGGACCCCATTGATGAAGAGAAAACTTCTTTTGTCACCGAGCAAGGAACATATTGCTACAAGGTCATGCCGTTCGGACTAAAGAATGCTGGAGCTACTTAGCAGAGGCTTATCAGCAAGATTTTCAAAAATCAAATGGGGAAGACTGTGGAGGCATACATTGATGACATTGTAGTAAAGAGTAAGAATAAGGAAGATCGTTTGGAACACTTGCAAGACGTGTTCAGCGTGTTAAAGAGGTATGG